CCTTGCCAGCCCGCTCAGCCGAACTCGGAGGCCGACGGCGTCGAGCAGCGCGAAAAGGCGGCGTCGGACGACGCACCATCGACGTCGAGGCCGAGTCCGCCGCCGTCGAGCTCGTCGCCAGCCTCCTGGAGTGCCTTGAGGGCGGCGGCCTGTCGACGAGCTGCTCGGCCAGCTCCGCGGCCGCGGCTCCTCCGGCCTCGCGAGCGCACACGGCGACGGCCGGTCTCGCCGCCAGTTCCAGCTCCGCCGACCGACGCATCGTCGCAGTCCGGGTGGTCGTAGCCCAGCATCGAGGGGGCAAACGTAACCGAAGCCGAGTGGCCGTGACCGTGGCCGTGGCCGTAACCCTGCTTGGGTCCGTATCCGCCGGCCTCGAGGCCGTGCAGCATGCTCGGCTCGTATCCGCCGCCGCAGAGGAAGCTGCTGCCGCCGACGCGAGGACCGTTGAGCATCGGGGGCACGTTGCCGCCGAAGCTGCCGTACTGACCCAAAAAGGCCGGCGGCGCAGCTGCGTGGACCAGGCCGCCCGCATAGCCTCGAGGAGCGTGCATTGGGGCGGGACGGTGGAGGTTCTGGTGGTGGCCGTACGCACTACTGCCGTTGTGACCGCCGTAGGCTAGAGGTGTGGGCAGGGGCAGCGGAGGCAGAGGGATCGAGTGGCTGGGCGCGCTGTAGGTGGCTGCGGCAGCAAAGAAGGGGTCCTGCTTCTGCAGGTCGCGGACAATGAGGTTCGGGTTGTAGACGCTGCCGACGCTCTTGGAGCTCGTGTGCTGGCGGTGGCGCGACACGGCCGGGTGGCTGGGGCCGCCAAAGGCCGCAGCACCGAGCGGAGGTGCTGCGGCAGCGGGGCGGGAACCTCCCAGACGGACGCCGCCGCCGAGCACGCCGACGTTGCCGTTGTCATGGATGGTGTAGTTGCTCTTGGCCTGGCCCTCGTCGTTGATGCTCGAGCAGACCGACTCGGTGCGCGTGCGCTGCGGCCTCGAGGCGAGGTGAGTGGCGTTGCGAGGCGTCGATACAATTTCGGCGCTCTCTTCGAGGACCAGGGTGCAGTCGGCGGCGTCGTCTGCCTGGATGGTGCAGTCGCCGGCGTCATCGCCGTCGCCAAAGAAGAGGCTGGCGCCTCGGAACGGCGTGCGAGAGATTGTCTCGTCGCCGTGCTCGGCCTCGCCTTCGCTGGGGGCCCGAGGGCTGTTGGACGTCGACGACGCGCACGACCACGGCGAGGTGAGGCTCGGACAGCCGACGCTCTCGTCCTCGCTAAAGTAGCTGGTCGCCTCGGTGCTGAGGGAGCCGTGGCTCGAGATGCTTGCGCTACGCGTCAGGCCAGCGATGCTGCTGCCGCAGCTGCTCGTGGAGAGGTTTCTGGCGTGTTGAGGCTTGCCACCGTTGGCCAAGCTGGACGGGTACCTGGACTCGGGTCGCACAATCTGGACGGGTCGGCGCTCCGGGGCGGGCAGGGCACTGGTGAGGGTGACGGTGACGGCGGGCCTCTGTTCGTCGCCGTGCTGTGCAAGCAGCTTGCCCCAGACGACGCTGACGGCCGAGGATGAGCTCGAAGGCCGCGAGTCGACGTCGAACTGGCTCCGTGCGGCACCTGGACCGCTGCCCATCCGGATGGCCACGCACTGCGGATCGATCCACATGGTGAAAGGCGTTGGCAGCCATCGCCGCGCAAGGTCAAGCGCAGCGGCGCCGCCGGTGCTGGCAAGGATCTCTCCCTCCTCTGCCTGCGATTCGAGCACCGCGGTGCATGCCGACAGGATGGCGCGGTCGGGTCCCTCGCCGGCCGAGTGGGCCTGCCATGCAATGGCACGCGAAGCCGAGCCACGGTCGGCCTCGTCGACGTACCAGCAGCTCTGGCACCTGGCGCGAAGCTGTTGCCTGAGGCTTTCGCCGAAGGTGTCGATCGCAGAAGCGGAGATGGGTTCGTCCCTGTCCTGTGACCGGCTGCGGATCAGCGACACGATGTGCGTGGCGGCGGCTTCGACCTCGCTGAACATCTGGATCGTTGTTCGAAGGGGTGGGACGATGGCGAAGCTTGCAGAGGAATGGGCACAGATGGGCGACTCCAGGCACGAGCTGAGAGCCTTCTTGTGAGAGGAAGGCGAGGAAGCTACGTAGCTGGGCTAGCCGGCGGTTTTTAGGCAGAGCGGGTCTGCGATGAGACTAGTAACGTCGTGCTGTGCGCCGGGTGTGTGAGATCTCAGACCTGCCTGCTGTCGCGCTGGGGCCAAGAGTCGAGGAGTTGCAGCAGCAGCAGTGGTGAGGGCGTCGGTCACCGGGTTTTCGCAGGGGGACCTATTGTCTGGTGGGCCAGATGGGAAAATGAGGTGGGGGCGTCGAAGGTCGAAGATGCCGGGGGTGACGGTGCGGGAGGGGAGAGGGCGTGCTCAGGTCGGTGGGGATGCAGGGTGCTGACGCTGGCACCGAAGCCGGGCCGGCGGCGCGTGGCGGGGCCGGATAAGCTGGGTATTGGGGCAGGAAGGCGAAGGGGCGAAGCAAGAAGGTCTACCACGGAGCGCTGCTCCGAGGGCTGAGGGTGCGATTGCAAGCAAAGGTTGCCTGCCACGGAGATCGATCTGCCTGAGGTCGAGGAGGGCGAGGGCGGCCGGAAGCGGGCAGCCGGTGGGCAACGGCCAAGAGGTGGGGCGGTTCGAAGTGGGATTCGAGAGAGGAGAGGGGCGCGCTGGGGGTCGCGGACGATGGAAGTGGCGCAGAAGTGAAGGGGTATGAAGGGGAAAGGAAAGCAAGGGCGTAGATGTCGCGGATGGGTTCGCGGGGTGGAGATGGCGATGGTCGAGGATATAAAAGAGAGTAGTGGCTAAACGAGGATGCTGGGCGGCTTGAAGAGAGGAGAGGAGAGGGTGCGAGAGGGCAGGAGCGAGAGGTGACGAGGCTGGAGGATGGTCGGAGGATGGACGAGGAGAGGTGACGACAGCGTCGAACGTCTCAGAACCAGCTGCGACGTGCGGTAGATGTATGGAGCTATGGAGCGGGGACGAATGGATGAACGAAGGGACGCAGGGAGAGGATGAGCATCGAGGGGGAGGGAGGACGTGGATCGATGGACCAACCGACCGACTGGCGGGGCGGCAAAATACGACGCAGGCAGGCAAGGCAGGCAGGCAGACAGGCAGGCAGACAGGCAAGGAGGAGAGGTCCGCGCTGCCCAGGCCAGAGTGCGGGATACAGCGCCCACGCACAAAGAGAAGAGGCTGCCAAGTTGGCGGTGGTGGCCAACAAGCGGCTGCCAGCCCAGCCCAGCGCGACAAAGACCAACAGACGGCGGTCTGGGGCCCAGCTCGACAGGCCAGGGCTGCAGCCAGCTGCCGAGACGCGGGGAGCCAAGCAGCAGCAGCAGAAGCAGCCCAAGATCCCCTGCCTCGACTGCATCAACGGCTTCGATTTTTTTTAAAAAAAAAAAATCAGCCCAAGGGCGAACGGTGCAACCGCGACGCCGCCCGCCGCCCGCCGGCTGGTCTTCCGACACCCACCCACCCACCGACGCCCGCCAAGCCAGAAGGCGGCCGTCGGTCAAAAGAGGGGGGTCGCCGCAGCCCCGCAACAGCAACAGCAGCAGCAGGTACAATAGAGCACAGGTTGGGCCGACGAGCCAGTTGGCCAGCCAGGGAGCTGGGTAAGAAAACGGGGGGCAGGCCATGCCGTGATGCTGGCGTCGGAAGCTTCATCTTGGCGGAAGTCGATCCGGCAACGGCGAGGAACCCAACGCAACCCAAGCCAGCCAGGCGGCCCCGGGCAGGCCGAGAGCATCATCGTCGAAGAGACGCCCAAGCGCACTTGATGGAAACCCTCGACAAAACGTAACGGCGAGATCGATGAATTTAGGGCGCGCCAGACGGCAGGGCTCTGGCCGAGACCAACACTTACGCATACGCCGCCCAGCTGCAGGCAACCAACCAAACGGCACTACACGGCGGCTTGCTTACTCCTAGACCTTCAGCCAGCCGTCAGCGCGGACTACTCTCTCTCTCATCTGTCCTGCTCGCTCCCTCGGCGTCCTATTCGAAATCCTGCAGAGCATGTCAAGAGGCGTTGGCTGCCCCTCTGCCGGTGTAGTCTCACGACTCAAGACGTTTCGGTCAGTGCCGCGCCCGCGCCAAGTCGAGAGATCGCGGCCTAGAGCGCTGCTGCTGTTTTTAGAAGGGTCCTACGGTCACCCGCGCTCCTCTCTTTGATGAAGGCTCGCACGTCGTCAGTCGACACCTGCTCTGCCTACCTGTACCAGAAGGATCGGTCCGCCTAGCCTCCTGATTTGGGGTGCCCGCTGCCGCCGGAACTGTCAAAGACGCAAGGTAGAGTTGGATGGAAGCAGCAGCGGTGAGGAAGGAAGAGTAGTCTGGTGAGTCGTCGGCCTCGACGTCGGTGCACCCGACCGGAGGGAGGGGCCTCGAGGTGCGCCTGACGGACGATATGATCCATCGGTTGGTGTAGGCCGAACGCCCACCTGCGACCTCGGCGAGCTGGTTGCCTGCTGGCCAGCTGGGCTGCCCTAACTAGCCTGCAAAGCAGTGGCCCACATGCACGGAGGCTTTGATGCCTCGCCTAGCTGGACCTCGGGAAGCGCCGACAAGCAGCTGGAAGGGCAGGCAGGCCAGCAGACGCGCGGACCCACTGCCGAAGGGAGTAGGCTTCCACCGCTCGTTGTTCTCGACGGGTCGCAACCCAAGCCCCCCTAGCCTGGGGCCAAAAAAAAGTTGACGACGGCGGTTGGTCCTCTGTACTGAAGTTGGCTGCTGCGTAATGGAGCATGCCTCGGCCCCGCACCTCAAACTCGCACAGAGAAGAAATAAAGGCGCTTCACGAAGAGAGCTCGACGCCAGCTCGTCTGTCGAACGTTCCAACGCCCTTGCGTCGGCCCGCGAGGACCAAGCGGGTCGCAGCCGAACGCTCGTCTGGCTGCGGCTGTGGTCGAGTCTGCTGGCGGGACGGATAACGAACCATTATCGCTGACACAACAGCAGAGTACGCTGGCTCCATCAAGCTTGCTCGAGCCTCTTTGGCAGCGCCGACTCACGCTTGCCGGTGAATGCCGAGCTTCTCTTGCCTTTGCTTTCCTTGGCGTGCAGTCTGCTGGGCGCACAGAAGGGGGCAAGCAAGCAAGGAGCCTTCAGCGGGCCCGGTGCGGCGGCAGCGCATCGCATCAGCAACTAGCCCGTCTCTTGGTGCCCTTCTTCGTGGCTGTCGTTGCTGTCGTTGCTGAGCGCCAGATCAAGAGAGGCATGCTGCTTTGCCCTGCCGTGCGTGATACGGCTGGTACAGCTGGCCTGCTGCTTGGCTCGACGCCGGGGCAAGGTCGACGATCTGCTTGTTCCGGTCGCCGCGCGCGGGCGGAGCTTTGCTGAAGTAGTGACGACCCGGCCGCGGCCCGTCGAGCTGCAGGGCCGGCCCCTGCAAACACCACGCTGCAGGCAAGGTGAGGCCAGCGCAGGCTGTCCAGCGACGCACGGTAGACGTGTTGACTCAACCATCAGGACGGCACATGTCAAGCCACGCCTTCCTTGTCTGCTCACCTCACGACATCGGACGCCACGATGGAAGCTGCGTAGCAAGCTCACCTCGACAGGTGCCCTTGGCCATGCCCATGAAATCAACGGGCAAAAGAGCAAGAAGGATCGGTCGCGATGCGACATGGGCGTCCAGTGCGATGGTCCGAGGCGTGCGCCGATCCCCCTCCTTGTGCTGTATACTGTAGGCCGCTGGGGCGCAAAGCCTCGGCTCCTCCGTAGTTAGCTCCTTCGGCCGAGTACGATGATCGACGATGCTAACTAGCTGGCCATTGGGCACCGTGCCGCCGTCTGTCTTGGAAAGCGCCCTTTCTCTGTCGTACGTCGGCGTTGTGCTCTCGCCGCCGCCGTCCGTTGGACTGAAGGTCAATCTGTCGATCATTGAGCGGGAGTCCAAATATGTCGCGTGTGTGTGCCCTCTCGCCCCTCAAGACGGGACCATGCTGCGCCGCTTTGCCAGTGTGCCAGGCCAGGCTGGCTGTGCAGGAGCGGGAAGCCCGCGCGGGTTTCCCAGCTCGGCGACGATCCTGTTGCCGTGGCTGGCTGGCTGGCCGGCTGGCTGGCTGGCTTCGCCATATCATGTCGGAGTCAAGACGGTCCGCCAAGCACCGCCCGCGGCAGGCACCTGCCTCCCTCTCATTCTTGTCCTGCCTCCACCGGCGCAAGGAGGATGACCGGCACAGGATGGCCAGCCTTTTTCGAGGGTCGACCGCTGGCGCTCCGGCGACAGGCGCATTTCGAGTCGTCTTGCAGCCCTGCCTCCCCGCCGCCGCCGCCGCCGCTGCCGCCGCCCGTCTTTGTGCCTTCTCCCGCTCATCCCGGCCATGCGGTCGTGCCGATGACAGATGTGGCTGTGTCGATCGAGGCGGCGAGGAGAGCCGCACCGCTGTGGAAGCCACGGGAGAGCAGCATGCCGTGCGGGGTGGGATCGGACAGTGGTGGTTGGCAGGAAGGAGACGTTGCGCCGAGCCCGCCACGGCCCATCCCCGCCCTCTGCAGCGAGCGAGAATCCGAATTTGATGATATTATTTATGTATGTTCATTTCAGCTCGCCTTTCACAAGCCTCCGAATTAGTTTAGTGGCTATGACGGCACCTTGTCACTCTGCGGGCCCCTCTTCGCCGAGGAGGTGACCGGTGCAGACCCGGGTTCGATTCCCGGATTTGGAGCTTCCTTTTTTGCGAGATTCTCATTTTTTCCACCTGCCACTCGAGCCGCCACTGCTATGGATCCATGGGACTGGCGGGACGACTACGCCGGGGATGCAGCTTTCGATTGCAGTTGCAGTCGAGCTGCGCTGGATCAAAGGATCTCCTCCCACGGAATGAGGTCGGCCATGTCAATGGGCCGGCCGTCTTCGTCGACCTGGGGCGCGCCGGGCATGAGGCCGTCAAAGAGGCGGTTGTAGCAACCGGCGCCGGGCGTGTTAAAGTGCTGCGCAGCGGTGCGGATGCGGTGCCAGGTGCGGGATGTCAGCGAGATGTCGGTGCAGGATTTGGCGATGCGGAGCGGACAGAGGAGATAGCGAGAGCAAGGGCGAGGGCGAGGGCGAGGGCGAGAGGGAGAAGACTTACGAGATAAGGATTGGTGGCGCTGATGGACTTGCCGCAGAGGTAGCAGTAGTGCGTCCTGCACGACTGGCAGGTCATGCTGTTCGAGACAGGAGGACGCGAGAGGGAGAGAAGAGGAGGGGAGGCAGGGTGGTCAGCCACTCGACCGCTCCCTAGCCTGACGGATCCGACCGGCGCCCCGCGGGCATGCTGTACTCAACTGGTTGCACCCGTAGCTCTTTTCGATGCAGATGCTGCAGGTCGGGCAGGGCGTGGTAAAGTCCTTCATCCACTGCCTCGTCTTTTCCTCCTCCTCCCACTTTTCCACGAGCTTGAGCAGCGTCGCCTTGCCAAAGCTCAGCTCCATCTGGCGCTTCTCGTCGCTGCCGTCGGCGAGGCCGCGGTACTTTTGCACCAGGTCGGCGTGGAACGACACGGGGCACGGGTTGGTGCCGTGCCAGCTGCGGCCGCACCACGCGCAGAAGCTCATGCCGCACTCTTGGCACTGCCGGAAGCGCTCCCAGATGCCCTCGTCGCCCGGCTTGCGCACCACGGCGGATTGGCAGTCGGAGCGCGGGCAGTAGGTGATGCTCGGGTCCGACTCGAGGCGAGCCTTGGTCGTCAGCCGGTCCAAGCGGTGGAGCTGTTCGGGCGTCAGAATCGTGGCGAGCTCAGGCCGGCTAATGGAGCCGCGCACCGTCGCTGCCCGAGGAGGCGTGGCCGAGGCGGACGGTGCCGCATCGTTGTTGTCGCCGTCGTCGTCAGCCCGACGAGCACCTGGCGTCGACGACGACGACGACGACGATGCCATTGCAGCGTCGGCCTCGGGATCCTCGCCGCGCTTCTCCATTTCGCCGCGCATCTTGACACACTCCGGGTCCGGGCAGCGCTTGGCCTGGCGATGAAAGCCCTCGTCGACCAGCATCGAGAGATAGGCGACCAGGCACTCGGAGCAGAACACGTGGCCGCACCCTTCGAGCCGAGTGCACTTGCGCCCCTTGCGGTTCTCGAGGCAGATGCCGCAATCAAACGACGACGTGTCGAAATCGTCGCGCGTGCATAGGCGCGAGTGCGACAGCAGCGTGGCGGCCAGCAGCGGCGTGTCGTCAGGCGACGCAAGGTACTCGTCGAACGCGAGCTCACAGGCGTCCGCAGCCTGGGCGCCGTCGTGGTGGGCCGAAAACGGCAGATCGGCCGGGGAAGTGGAGCCGGGCGCGAGGAGCAGCTCTTCCCACATGCCTTCGGCGAGCCACTGTGCCCAGGCCCACAGCACTTCGCTGCCGCCTAGCTCGTCGTACTGCTCCTGCAGCCGCCTTTGAATCCAGAGTGAAGGCGAGCCGCCGCCACCAACGCCCTTCGACAGCCATGCCGCCTCGAGCGACAGGAGCTCCGGCGCCGTTTGCAGGGGATACGTTGCAGGCAGCCGGACTCGGAGTACGACGGGCGGCAGATGTGCCAGCGGTGGCAGCTTCCGTATCGTGGGCGGTCTTGCTGGCAGGATTGGCGTGATTGCCGAAGCTATCGGGGCGTCGGTCGCACGAGAGCCAGACGGCGATGATGCAGCCGCTGGTGGTTTGGAGGGAGGCGCTACCTGGCCTCCGGCCGCAGCCCTCAAAGCGGGTGACATTGGATCTGCGCCTTCCGGCCCGATTGTTGCGACGCCATTGACATGTGGTTGCTCGCTCTTCTTGCCGCACGGTTCTCGTCTGCCTTTGCCCTTGCCCCTGCTGCGCCTCGAGCCGGTCATCTCTGGGCTGCCGGCGTCGGTCGGGCGTTGCGGTGGCGGAGCACGAGGTCGAGCTTGCCCGCTGGGCTTGGGAGGGAGCCCGTTGAGGCCATTCGTTGGCGCCGACGAGCTGTTCTTCTGATGCACTTGCAGGTTGAGATGTAGTTGTGCCACGCCGTCTTCGAGGCCCTGTGGTGTCGGCGCAGTAGACTTAGCCTTGGGTTGAAAGGCTGTGGCGGTGGGTTTGAGGCACGGCGCTCCTGGGTTGACGCCAAGAGGCTGTGTTGCGGAGGGCTGCGGCCATATGGATGTGACCTGTATTTTCGTTAGACGGGGGAGCAGTACGGGCAGGACGAGGCAGAGGATGGGTGGCGAGCCGGGCTGGTTGCGCTCGATGACGAGGCGTGCACGGGTGTCTTGGCTGGCGTGTGCCTCGCCCTTTGCGGTCGACGTGGAAGCAGCAGCGGCGGCGGTGTCGCTGCCGAGCGAAGGGTCGTTGTAAATTGAGTCGAGAGCGAGGATCTCGTCTTGCTGCATCTGGTTGCACTCGTCTTGTGGCGCGGCGGTCGAGGTCGGGGAGGAGGACGAGGCGGCCGCCATGGTGGCACTCGGTGTTGCTATCGGGGCAGAAAGTTTGTGTGGCCGTTGTCGTGGTGGCGACGGGAGCGAGTGTGCTGCATGTGATTCGAAGGGCAGAGTTGCGAAGGGCGAGGTAGTAGTAGGGGGTTGACTGGCGAGGTCGAGGACGAGGTCGAGTAGAGAGGGTGGCGGCGGGAAGTTGCGAGGCCGGGGGGGTGTGCGTGGCTCAGTCGAGTTTGAGGCAGGGTTGCCCAACACCCGCCCGGCCAAAGTGGAGGCCAGGTTTTGGGTTTTGGGTTGCTGCCTGGCCCGGCTTGGCTGCTGCGAAAAAGTCCAAAGGTCGCTCTTTCTTCTCGACCTCGAGTCGGTTTGCAGCTGCCACCTCGTTGGAGGCTTCCTCCTCTTCCCCACCCTCTCCCTGCTCACACACGCTGCCCCCCTTCCACTCCCCCTTCTACTCTTTCCCTCCCACTCTAGTTCTCTCTCTGCAACAGACAGCCGATTCGCCATGGTACGCTTCAAGAACCGCTGGCTCCTCCTTTCTCTCGACACGCGCTCCAGCACCGCCTCCGCCGCCGCGGCGCACCCGTCGCTGACGCCCCAGAGCGTGACCAAGCTGCTGCGCGCCTCGCTCTCGACAAACTTTGGCGACGCAGCCTCGGGCGCGCTCGGCGGATCGCTCGTGTGCAAGTACTACTCGACCCACACGGGCACCGCCATCGTCCGCTGCGCCCGCGAAGGCGCAAAGGTCGTCTGGGCCGCCGCCACCCTCGTCTCGTCGACCCACCCCGATGGCGGGCCCGGCGGCACCCCGCTCCGGGTACGCGTCACGCACCTCGGCGGCACCATCAAGAAGCTGCAGAAGAGGGCGATGGAGCTCGACAAGATCCGTATCCTCCAGCTCAAGGGTCAGCGCTCGTCTTCCAAGTCCAATTCGGCCAGCGGCGGCGGCGGCGGCGGCGGCGACAACGACCAGACGACAAAGCTCCTCGAGGCCAGCGCAAAGGCCATCAGCGCTGTATCCTGAGCTGTCGATGCTGTCCCCGTCAACCCAAGCACCGGCAGCCGTCGCATCCTTGCCAGCACGACCGCCGGCCGATACCCCTGCGACGACCAGCTCGCCGCTCGCCAACGGCTACCGCCGTTTTTATACCCATCAGACCGTCGAATGCCGCTCTGCGGGTCTCCACCGCGCTGCGAAGTCGATAGGTCTTGACGCAAAGAGGGCTCGTCGCCTCGCCTGGCCTCGCAGTCCGGCGCGCCCCCGATCAGACGCAGAGCATCTGTCTCCGCAGCCAGACGGGTCAGGATCCCTGCTCGAAGACGCAGGCGCTGGCCAAGGAGAGCCGCAGCAGCAATCCCCTCACCAGGCTAGTCGACGGACCGAGACACCCGAACACCGGCAACATGGAAGCCAATCCGCCCGCCCTTGCCTCTCGACACCGCGCGCCTGCAATCCATCGAGACTCACCATCGTACCCCTCCTCGCGCTGACAGCAAGGCAGCAGCGGCCGCCTGCCGGGCCACCCCACCGGCGTCTCGACGTCTCCCGCCCGGGCTCGCCCTCGGTGCTCCCGGCCCCCCCTGCGCTCAACTCGGGTGATCTATTAGCCAATCGACGACGCGGGCTGGACGTTCACGTCCTACATGCCAGAAGTAGAGTAACAAAGGAACGTAGGGACGAGCGAAAGCGATGAATGGGGGGGAGAACGATGACGATGGGATCGAGCGCTGGCTCGAGGGGCGGGGAATCGCGGATCACGGGCGGCCAAAGGACACGCCGTCTAGAGTACAGTAAGAGTATGGGAGAGGGGAGAGGGGAGAGGGGGAAAGGGGCGATGATGGTGGTGAGACGGAGAATGCTGCAATGGACCCGTAAAGAGACGTTGGTCGAGAGCGGAGATGATGCAAAAGGGGACAAGAGACGCAAGCAGGGGGGGGCTAGATGTCGAGTAGAGGCAAGCGAATGTGGTATCAACTGCAGAGGCGGCCGTGACGGGGACTGGTGCGGCTAGATGACGACTGCAGAAGGGTCGGACGAGGAGCGAGAGGGTGTCAAAGGTCAGCCAGGGTCGAGCTCCAGCGAGGGTCACAGGGGATCCGCAACTCACTCTCTCTCAGGCTGTGTCGGGACGAGGACGAAGGGGGGCGGCCAAGGGTGTCGAAGGGTGTCGACAAAGGCGGTCAGCAACAAGTCCATGCACGCCACGCGACAAGCACAAGGGAGGGTCGTGCCCGTCACTCACTTGTTTGTTAGGATAATGTCGGTCACACTGCCAAAGAGGCACGCACCGCCGGTCGAGGATCGAGGGACCAGATCAGAGGTCAGCAAGCAAGCGCAGAGCGCAAGACCAACGTACGACGCAGCGCCCGACTCGACTCACGAGGTCATGACGATCTTGAGGAGCGACGGGTCCGTCGCATTGGTGAAACTCGGGTAGATTTCCTTGGTCGTCGAGCGATTGAGGCGCACAAAGCGCTGCTTGAAGTAGGACCGCGCGGCGTTGAAATCGGCATCGTCGCCATCGTAGTCGGGAAAGTACTGGGATATGCTCGAGTGCATGATCTTGCTGCGGAAGATGTCGACCTTGTTGAGAAAGACGATCATCGACGTGCGGACGAACCACTTGCTGTTGCAGATCGAGTCAAACAGCATCAGCGCCTCTTGCATCTGGTTCGAGTCCTTGTCCTCGACCAGGCACGAGTCGTAGCCCGACAGCGCCACGAGGAAGAGCACGGCGGTGACGTTTTCAAAGCAGTGGATCCACTTTTTCCGCTCCGACCGCTGGCCGCCGACGTCAAAGATGCGGTAGGTGCGGTCGTCTATCGGGAACGTCGTCTCGATGATGCCCGTCGTCTTGTTGCGGCACCGCAGGATGTCGAGGTCCGTCGGCACATAGTCTGGCCCAAACAGCCGGGCCAGGTCGCCGTAGAAGTAGCTCATGTTTTCCGGAATGGCGGCTTCGTTGCCGCGCTTGTAGACGCTCTGCACCCCCTCGTCCTTCCACAGCTGCTTGAGCGGCTCGAGGTACGTCTGCGGGAACGGCTCGTCCTCGGCAATGTCTGGGTACGAGATGAACAGCGACAGGTGGCCCTGCGCGCGTCGAGAAAGCGGAGACGGGTGAGGCATTCGGACCCATGGCCGGAACGGTCGGGGAGTCAGCCAGGGCCAAGCTCCGAGTCGAGCTAAGATACGGTGGAGTCACGCTCCCCCTAGACGGCCCAGCTCCTCCCTCGCCCCGAGCAGGCAGGGAGGGATGAAGGGTATGCGGTGGCGAGAATAGCTGGCACTCACGGCGTTCTCGTCCTTTTCGAATTCACCGCCCCACTCCTCCATGGCGTCCAGGACGGCCTTCATGCCGAGGACGAGGTTGATGAAGACGAGGCGCCGGAAGTTCTCGCGCTCCTCGGGCGTAAAGGGAATGTGGTGGATGATGCGCATCGATTTGAGGATCGTCGACTTGCCGCTCTCTCCCGCGCCTGACAGCCCAGTCCGGGGACGCAAGACTAGCGTCAGTGGCTGGAACCGCGGGCCGCTCGCCGGGCGCCAGGTTGGGGGAAACTCACCAAGCAACAGCAGCTTGATCTCTCTCGACATCTTCTTTTCGTCATCCTTGATGCGCCTGTCGAGGGCCCGCGACTGCTTGGCCTCTGGCGTCTCCTGGCTGTGCTCTGCAGACATGCACGCGCCCATGGCGGCCGAGTTTGTATGGTGTAGGTGCGAGGTGGGTTGCAGGAGCGTTTTAATGAGGCGCAGCGGCGAATGAGGCGGCGAGTACGGGAGCTGCCAGCCAGGTTGAGGAACGGGCCGCCTCCGGGGCGTTTGCTCAGGGCTCTTATTGTGCGACGAGGCGCCGGTGGGACCAGATTATTACGGCAGTTGAGCGGCCGCCTGACTAGCTGGTTTGCTGGCGGGATGAGAGGAAAGGGCGCTTTCGCTGTCGCTTGCGCGTGCCTGGGGCGTGTTCCACTGGAATAGCAGAGCGGCTTCGGCGGCGATACTGTATGTGAGATACCTCGAGGAAGCTGAGCGTGGCGTTGGCTGAGGAGGCTCGAGGCGATGGCGACACGGTCCGGGGCGACAGGGGTGCAGCGAGGGTATCCTTGAGTCGCTGATAACGCTCGCCGAGATCTGGGCAGCTCGATGGCTGTCGTGGAGCGGGAGAGGAGCAGCTGGGCGTCGGTGGTAGTCTGTCGCTGGAGCAAGAGAGCGACGTGGGGCAAGGTGGCGATGACGGAACCAGGGTCGGGCAAGGGACAGCGTGTGGGCAGGGACAGCGTGTGGGCAGGCAGTGCAGGGTCGAGTGGGGACCGAGCAGTTAAAGAGGGCCTGGCGGGCTGGACGACGTTGACGAGGATGGTGGTGGTGGTGGTGACGATGGTGGTGAAGACGGCCGGAGGGGGTCAAGCAGGCGAGCGTTCGATGAGGAGGTGGAGAGTAGTAGTGGGACCGGGAGCGGGCATGAAGCACGCTAGCAGGCGGCGAGTCGGAGGAGGGTCAGGCAGAGGTACGGTCACCGTGGCCTCGGAGCGGAGGGCAGCTGAGCAGCGGACCGGGCGGACGGGCAACGCAAGCGATGAGGATGAGGATGAGGATGAGGTCGAGGTCGAGGTCGAGGTCGAGGTCGAGGTCGATGCTGGAAGGAGGCCCTGCAGGCAACAGACCGCAAAGGCGAGGCGAGGGAGAGAAAAGCTGAGGCAGGGGAGAAGGGCCAAGCAAGACCGGCAGAGGCCAGCCAGGGACAGAGAGCGAGCGAGCGAGGCCAGGCCGGACGAGCTTCGCATGCATCGACATGACGGAGCGGCCCGAGCTCAGATCAAGCAGGCAGGGCTGGGCAGGCAAGCAAGCAAGGTGCCACCCAGCAGCAGCAGCAGCGGGTCGTCTGCCGAGTCTCGAGGGCGCCGTTCGGCTTGCTTCCGGGGCCCGCCTGTCGCCCCACCGACCGACGGACCGACCGACGCTCCGTCGCTCCGACCCGTACAGTACGTCCGCAGTCAAGTCAGCAGCAGGCTAGGCTAGGCTAGGCTAGGCTAGGCTAGGCCTGGCCTGGCCAGGTTGACCGCCCAATCGCGCCCACCGACCACGAGCCATTGCATGGTGCCACGCCGCCTGCCACGCTCGCGCGCGTCGGAGGTGGGCCGCCGCCTCGTTCCATAGCGTCGCCGCCCTGCGACCTAGCGTGCCCCTGCGCAGGCCAGACAGGCTGCTGCTGCTGCGATGGTACGGCGGCGAGGCAGAGGCAGAGGCAGAGGCTAGGCAGGCTGGTTTGGCTGACTGGCCGAGCGAACGGCAGACGCGGCCGGAGCGCCGTGTGCGCCACGCACGCTTAACCTTCCTGCGCTCGCATGCAGCACCCTGGCCGCTGCCTCCTCGCCTCGTCTCGCTTCCATACGCGCGCAGCCAGCGACCGAAGGCCGCCAGGCAGGCAGGCCGAGCTGGTCAGGCAGGCTACATGCGACGCACCCACCCCACGCCATCGAGGCCAGACCATCACCATGGCTACATGGCTTATCTTCGCCCGTCGTTGCCGGCATGACCGCCCGGCCAGGGGCGAGCTAGCGGCAGCAAAGGCAGGAGTCGGCAGCAGCAGCTCCTCAATGGCGCATTCATCTCCGTCAAGGAAGCAAACAAACGCGAGCAGCAGCTGGGCCAGAGCACTGTGACTACAGAAGCCCATAGGCCGTCTCTGCTGCATGGGCGAGAAAGCAAAGGACCAGGCGGGCGGGGTAGTGGGACGCGAACTCGGCAGGGGGGTTCGCCACCGAGGTCGCTTGGCCTGGTCGCGCATGGCCTGCTCCCATCATCGTCGTGCGTCTGCCTGCCTGCTCGTCTGTCGACGCATGGCCACGCCTATGCGGCACCATGTTCGTACGTACGTCCGTGGGAGGCTCCTGCTGTAGGTCTCTTCGGGGCGGACCGAGAGGCGATCGGTGCGCTCGCTGGCACGCTGCAGTACGCTAAACACGAAGGTACGGCGGTGCTTCGTCGACCATCGACGAGGCTAACGATTCGCAGAGCATGGTTCGGAAAAGATCAAAGATCCTCGACCATGGCCCCGGCCTGGTTCTGCTCTCTCCTGGCTGAGATCCAAGCCACGCTCTCCTGCATCGCCCACGCAGAGGGTGGGAAATCCCTAGCCTCCTCCGGCCGGCGTCCAGAACAGGGCGGGGGCCAGACCGGGAAAAGGGCCGGCAGCTTTCGAGGTCCGATGGGGCGCCCTTCCAGGTTAGACCTTAGCTTCCCGCTCCAGAGAAACATGCATGCATTCAAGCCTCTTTTCGACGGGGCTCGGCCGTAGCTGCGAGCTGGGCAACCACCAGAGGAGGGGCCTTTGAGGTGATGCCGCTCAGTGCAGGGGATCGCGCCGTCGAATTGGCACTGTCCGTGGCGCGCCTGGCGAGCGAGCGAGCAAGGGCCCGGTGCCGGCTCGGCCGTCGAAGCGATCAAGCAAGGGCTCTATGAGATCTGATTTGCGCCCCAGATCCGCCGGTCAGGGGCAAGGTTCAAGGAGGGCGGCCACGATATACCGTATGGTGTAAGCATGTCCGTGTCGTCCCCTGTCGCGAGATGACGCCCAGCCACCGGCTGACCAGTCGTTCACGACCTGAGCGAGGGGCGGCAGATGGAAGCCGAGTTGGCCAGTCAGGCAAGCAAGGAGGTCGAGGGCAAACGCCGGCCCACCTCGTGTCGCTCGTGGAGTTTAAAGGCCAGGACGGCATGGCGGACGACCTGCCAGTCCAAGCCAGGCCAGGCCAGGACGGCGACGACCCGCCTTTGCTTGCTTGCTTGCTTTCTCTTGGCGGGAAAGCCCATGCAAGGGTCCTGGGCAATTTGGCGGGTGGCGCAACAACGCGAGGTACGGTGAAGCCGCCTGACAGCTTGATGCCCGAGCGAGAGATCAGAGATCATCGCTGCTGACCCTCCGCCGAGGGTACGGTACTTACCTGGCATGACTCGTCGACGTATCGCAAGCAGGCAGAGCAATGAGCGCCCATGGTGTCGCCGTTCTGGGCCCGCCCTTGGAGCACCGGGTCGGGACGGATGCGGACGCAAGGTGTCCATCAACCGATTTGGCTGCAGGCCATACGTGGCTGGAAGGTGTCGGACAACGCAGTGCTGCGCTGCGAGTCGGAGCTGGAAAGCGAGGCCGACACCGTTGCAGATCGCACACGTGGCGGTGGCGTGGCGTCGCGCGTCGTGGCTGGCAGGCCCGGCCAGCCTGGGCGTGGGCGATGAGGCCCTGGGACACATCACTGCCGGACCTGCCTTGCCCTGTGCTCGGCGAGGCTACGTGATCTCATGGAGAGCGAGGAGAGAGAGCAAAGGCCCGGGACCGGCCAAATCGACCTGATTGACCGACTGAGCGACTAGGCCACCCGGACTGGTCGGGAGTGGCTCCTTCGAGTAGTCTGGGCCACAGCGCCAATTTTGTGCACCTTTTCGTGGCAGTTATTGTAGCGCGGGCCCAACGCGGCCCAAACGCGATCCTATCCACCGCTTGGACCGGCCGACTCGATCGTCTCCCTTATGTAGTCTCACTGCCGCAGGTCGACCCAAGTCACCTGCTTTCCGACACGGATGCCGATCCGGTCGACGAGAAACGGCGGGCACCTGCGTATCTCGGCCGCCCGCGTATCCTGCAGCGCATCGACGAGGGCAGCGAGCGGAGGCACGTGTGTAACTCCTGTTCCGGCCGTCGACCCTGCCGTCGACCCTGCCGTCGACCCTACCGCTGCCGCTGCCGTCCCCGTCGCCGCTGTGGGCGCCATCGTGCGTCCATGATAAATGTCCTGTGCGTGGGAGCCGGTTGCACGCAGACGAGGTTGGGAAGCCACCTCCGCGTCGCCTCGAGGGCGCGGGCCGACGACAGCAGGCGCCTCTGCCGCTGCCTCTGCAGCCGCCGCCGAGGCGCCTTGGCCGTCCGGTGCGGATTCCGCGGCTGGCGCAGGCTGACTGGGCATGCTGTGGCCCTCGTCTCCGATAATGTCATCGACCATCGAGACGAACCCAACGCTGGCATGGAATCTCGCCTCTTCGTAGTACGGCTTGGCGCGCACCAGCCGGTAGAGCGCTGTCGACAGGCTCTCAGCAAGCGCCTTGAGCTGCAAAAGACGAACAGAAGTGGCAGGCAAAGGTCAGCCAGCTAGTCTCGCTGACGGCGGGACCGAGCCCCGCAATGCAACCACAGACTAACCTCTTTCCATCCCGCCCCCACCTCTAGCACCAGAAAGTCCCGCGTGCGGTCATCGTTGACCAGGTGGTCGAGCCGCGAAAACGAGACGGGAAATCTGCGAGATGGGCGCCAGTCAGCAACGACCAGAACCTCGTCGAAGCGGCCATCGCCATTTTGAAGCGCGGGGGCCGGGAGCCTTGGCTCACCTCTGCATGTTAAAAGCATGCGATGCCGCCCGGACCGCCTGGGCGGCCTCTTGAACAAACATGGTCCGCTCGTGGGCGCGGAGCAGGATGGGCCTCGTTAGCGAGATGTGCGGCCTCTCGCATGTGACCTCTCCGGGATGGCCGCCGTTTGCCGGATCGGGCGGCCGTGAACCGATGGGCTGGAACCGCGTTGCAAACGCCTCACGAGCATCTCGATGACACCGGTCAATCGTGCGGTCCAGCGAGATCTGTTGCGGGACCTCGACAAAGACGTGGCAGAGCCACTCGCCCGCCACCACCGCCTTGACTCGCTTGCTCGGGCCGGCCTCCTGCGCTGCCGAGAGCGGCGTAAGGTCATCTCCGAGCGGTGGAAGGCGGCGCTTCCTCGTCCCGGTGGATGGGGTGACGATGCTGGTCGGGGCGGGCTTGGTGGTCACGCCGTTGCCGTCGTCGTCATGCTGGCTGCGCGGCGGCTCGACGCCGGCATCATCGTCAGAGCCAGACTCGGATCCGGAAGTGGCATAGTCGACCAGACCCCGCGTCGCATGGGGCTTGGCACACATACGCCACGGCCTGAGGAAGCTAGGGTGTTGAAGGAAGAGTGAGAGGCAGCGATGGAGGGCGAGTGGCAAGAAGCGGCAGGCGGTCGGGCCCCGCCATAGCCGCATCAGCCTGCTCCAAGTGGAGGTGGTGGGGCAACCAATCCGGTCGACGATCGGGAGCGGTCGGCCGCGCTTGATCGGGCGAAGAGGGCATGTCGCATTGCAGCTTCTGAGACCCTGACGACCCCTCTCTCTATGCTATGTGACGCGACCCAGCTCAAAACTCGAATCCCTGCGCCCTGAACTGGTCGAGGTTCGATCCGACGTGGGCGTGCTGCGCCAGGTCCATCCTGTCCATGCAGAGGACTGTCGAGGGGGTGGCGGAATAACGAGGGCGAGGGACGAAGGCGTGGTCAGCGGGCGACAAGACCAACGACGACGGCAGCGACAGTGCGGAGCCGGACCAAAGAGCAAGGAGGCTCAGGCTTTTACTCACAGATGCGGCGCAGCGTGCTCCAGAGGTTGTGCGACTCGCCGGCATCGGCGAGCGGCGTCGGGCTGGGCTCCTCGCCAGGCGGGACGTCGGGCAGCGTGTGCGTCTGCTGCAGCGAGAGCGCCGCCAGCAGATGCTCGGCCGCCTCGTGGTGAGCGCCCAGGTTGAGGCCTGGCAGAAAAGAAAAGAGGAGAGGCAATGAAGACAGAGACAGGGTCAGCTCGTGCGCACGCAGGCATCGACGTGCACCGACGGACGGCGCGGCGACCCGCGACACTCACAGGAGACGCTAAGGTTGTAGATGGCGCGGGTGAACGTCGGGCGCAGCTCGAGGGCCTTGTGGTACGCCTCGATGGCCTCCTCGGGCTTGCCGCCGTTGGCCAGCGTGGCGCCCAGGCGGTTCCACAGGAGGAAGTCGTTGGGCCTCGCCTGTAGCGCCGTCTGGAAGCAGTCGCGCGCCTGGTCGTAGCTCGAGTTGGAGTAAAAGAGCACGCCGAGGCCCACCTGGACCTCGGGGTCGATCTGGCCGTTGGCATTGCCCTCGCGCGCGGCGGCAAGGAAGAGGTCGGTCACCTTGTTGAGCGTAGCCCACGGGTTCGAGTTGGCCGTGCCCTCAATGGGGTCCGAGGTGCCCGAGATCGACGAGGGCAGCGGGCCGGCCTTGAGGTGCGGGTAGGCGCGCTGGATGTAGCGCTCAAGCGTGGCGTGCGCGGCCGTGTCGTAGCCCTCGTTGGTGTACGAGATGGCGAGCGACATGTACGCCTCGAGGTTGTTTTCGTCGACGCGGATCGCCTCCTCGAGGGCGCGGATGGCCTGCGTCTCCTTTTCGTTCATGGCCTGGCACTCGCCGAGGCGGCGCCACGCCTCGCTGCGCTCGCGCCGGTTGCGGTCCACCTCGCCGCGCTCGACCTCACCGCCCGAGCCACCCTGCGACTCGCGCTGGGTGGCGGCCTCGAAGAGCAGCGCCGCATCGCTCAGGCTGCCGCCGCTGCCGAGCAGCCGGAGGCCCTCGCTGAGCGGATCCGGGTGCCTCTCAAAGGCGTTCTGCGTGCTGAAGCGGTAGGTGCCGAGCCGCGGATAGCCGTCCGGCCCGACGGTGTCAAAGTCGTTGAGCAGCGCCTCCTCGGTGCCGTCGATGGCGCCGGTCTCCTCGAGGCCCGCGCGTCCCAGGCCGAGCCCGCCGCCCGGGTGCGACCAGTCAAAGTCGTCGGCGTCGCGCGACTTCATCAGCTCCTCTTCCCACTTGGCCAGCTCGGCGTCAGCCGCCGAGGGCGGGACGCCGCTGCGCGAGTGCATGCTCTTCCAGAGCTCCTCGAAGCGAGAGGTGGCGTCGTCGCCGTCGCTGCGCAGCTGCTGCTCGATGGCGTCGAGCTCGCGCTGGATCGAGGCATTCTGCTCCGCCTCCGAGGGAAGGCCGTCGGCTTCGGCGTCCCTCTGCTTGCCCTTGCCCTTGGCGTCGGCCTCGCTGGTCTTGGAGTCGTCGGCGGCGGTGGTGGTCTCCTCGTCGAGCTTCTTGAACTGCTCCTCCCACTTTGCGTCGTCGAGCTCGACGAAGCGCTGCGACGAGGCGGTCGACGACTGCTGCGGCTGCGACTGGAGGGGTGCCTGGCCGCTCATCATGCCGCCGCCCATGCCCATGCCCATCATGCCCATGCCCATGCCGCCGCCGTAGCCGCCGTACATGCCGCCCATCATGGGGCGCGAGTACGAGCTTGCGGCCGGTTCGGGTCCTTGTTGCTGGTGCTGCTGGTGCTGGTGGGCCTGAGCCGCCGGACCGCCACCTGCTGCAAACTGCTGGCCCCAGTTGGACGGAGGCGGCCTGGCCTGCGACTGGCGGTGGAGGGCGAACGCGGCCTCCATGTCGCTCGAAGAGGCGCCCGGTGGCGGACCCGCTCTGGCCATCTGGTCGGCCCAGCCTGCCGACGAGGGCGCGCCCTGCTGTGGCGGTCGGAACTGGGCGGCGACGCCGTGGAGCTCGTTTCGGAGGGAGCCCATGTCAAAGTTGGCGGCGCCGGGACGACCCTGCTGCTGCTGCTGGCGGAAGAAGGCCTCTGCATCCTGGCTGCCTCCCTGCTGCGGGCCGAGGTTGGAGTGGCGCATGCCTCCGCCCTGCTGCATGGGCGATCCGTTGAGGGTGCGGTCGCCGTGCTGGAGGGAGCGGTCCTGCTGCGTGTGCTTGAGCATCTGTGCGAGGCCGTTGTTGGAGGTGGAGCACTCTGCTCCACCCATCATCGACTGGAACGCCATGGCTGCGAGAGAGCGGCGGGGATCGGGGGGGGAGAAGCGACCTTGCGTGGGTGCGTGCGTGGGCGCCTGCCTGCCTGACGGGTGGCGTTGACGGATGCAGTTGAGATCAGGTGTATGCGGGGTTTGCAGTGACGAACTTGCTTGATAGCGGGGCAGGCGAGAGTGGCGAAAAAGGCGTGCGGGGTCGTCGCCTATGCTTGGGGAGTCGTTGACGGTGGTGGTGGTGGTGCTGGGGCTGGTCGACGGTCGTGTCGGTGAGGAGGACAAACGAGGGCCAGGAAGAGGGATGCGGGGAAGGCGCCACCACCGCCTGGCCCGGTCGCCGCTCGGGGCGTCCGCCGAGAGTAAGCCGGCTCACCGGCGTTAACCAAAGACGGAAGCACCGGCCACGAACGCACGCACGGCACAAGCAAGCCAGCCTGGTTCCGGTCTGGCTCCAGCCCTGTGTGGGCCTTCGCCCCTTCGGTGGCCTGCTGCTTCCATGGCGGGGGCTGCCCGCTCGCTCACCCGCCCGGCCAATGGCCCGCCCTAGCCTGCTGGCTGGCTCGCTCGCCCACCCGCTCTCGCTCGCTCTCTCGCTTCCGGCGTTGGCAGCCGATTTTTGAAAGCGGGCGTTGCGTTGCCCGGGTCCCGGCACACCGACGCCCTTTTTCGGAGCCGTTCAGCGGAGGTCGATTTGGGAGGCTGGCCTGGCCTGGCCTCAGGGTCCGCCGCTTCGCGACGCGTCCCCGCTAAATTGACGACAGAGGCCCGCGTGTTGGTCTGCGGGCCTGGCCTGGCCAGGTCTGGCCAGTCAGGCAGGCAGGCAGATCTCTAGGCACAGCTCAACTTTTGGAGAGAGAGGGAGTGGCTGACCTGCCCGCACGCATGCACGCACACCTTCGCCGCACCTTCGACCACGACGACGACAACGCCAACGACACCCCTCCCGACGACGAGCAACAGAGGGCCCACACGCATTCACACCCGCACACTCCGCACGCGCAGCACACAAAGTCAAGATGGCATTCAACGAGCAGCCTTCGCAGCCCAGCGGCGACACACCGGCTGCGGCCACCGCCCTCGACCAAGCATCGGCGACGACGACGACGGCCTCGCCGCGCGAGCTGCTCGACACAGCACGCCGCGCCATGGCGCTCAAACAGTACGATGCCGCCACCGACCAGCTCGCCACGGTGCTCGAGCTGCTGCGCGACACCCACGGCGAGGACCACCAGAGCCTCGCCCCCATCCTCCACCTCTACGGCCGCGCGCTCCTCGAGACCGCCATCGCCAACTCGGGCGCCCTCGGCGGTGGTGGCGGCGCAAAAGACGCACCCATGCCCTCCAGGGCAAAGCCGGCCTCGACCTCGGGTGCGGCGACGGCGAGAGGCAGCGGCAGCGGATCGGCAAAGTCCAAGGTCCAGGACCCGAGGTTCAGCTTCAGCGGCGATGCCGAGAGCGACGACGAGGACGATGCCGCCGAGGGCGCAGAGGACGGCGCAGAGGGAGGGGAAGACGAGGAGGACGACGACCTCGGCGTCGCCTTCAGCGTCCTCGACCTCGCCCGCGTCATCTACCAGCGCGCCCTCGACGGCGACAGCAAGCAGCTCGAGACGCTCGAGGGTGCCGTGTGGGACGAGACCAAGGTCAAGGCTGAGCTGGCCGAAGTGCTCAACGACCTCGGCGACGTCGGCCTCGAGAGCGGTGAGTGCATGCTGCTTGGGATGACGATTTCGACCCACCCGCGATGGGCCTCGGTGAGGACCAATGCTGAACCTCGTCCTGCGCCTTTCCCCCCACTCCCTACACTTGCCTCCCGTCCCGTTCTTTCGCCTCAGAAAACTTCCAGCAAGCCTCGTCCGACTACCAGGCGTGCCTGACGCTCCTCACGCCGCTGCTGCACCCGCACTCGCGCCGCCTCGCCGACGCACACCTCCGGCTCGGCCTGGCGCTCGAGTTCCACCCGACGGTCTCGGAGCGCGAGGGCGCCATCCGCCATGTCAAGGCGGCATCCGGCGTGCTCGCAACGCGCCTGGCCGCGCTCGAGGAGCGCCAAAAGACGATCGCCTCGCTCGCCCTGCCGAGCCCAGATGCTCAGAGGGTGCTGGCCAACGCCGAAGCGGCGCGATCGGAGAAGATCCAGGAAGGCGAGGGCGGCCAGGAGGGCGCCGACCAGGCCGACGGCAAGGGCAAGGGCAAGGCGCCGTCTTCTGCAGCTGCCGGTGACGACGACGAGGCGGCGAGGAAGCTGGAAAAGGACGACATCCTCGGCATGACGTCGGACCAGGTGACGCTCGAGCTCAAGGACGTGCGCGAGATGAAGGAGGAGCTCGACACCAAGCTCGACGAGTACGAGTCGCCCTCGGGTCTGGCCAAGCTCTCGGGCGAGCCCGAGGGGAATGCCGCAGCAGCGGCGGGCTTCGGGCTGGGAGAGGGCATGACGGCGACCTCGACCAAGGCCGCGCTGGAGCAGGCCATCGCCGACGCCTTCCTCGGCGGAGCGGGCGGCAGCGACGACGCGGCGAGGGCGCTGAGCGCCCTCCGCAGCGCGACCGGGTCGTCGTCGTCGGGCGCCGCCAGTGTCGCGGTCAACGACCTGAGCAAGATGGTCAAGAGGAAGAAAAAGGCCGAGCCCGAGATCGAGGCCGAGGCCGAGGCGCAGGAGGGCAAGGGGAAAAAGGCGAGGGTCGACGACGAGAGCGAGGCCTGAGGCCGGCGCCGCCGTCGGCCGCCGTGCACGCACGCCGGAAGGGATTGTGGGTGGCATCACGAAATGACAGTACTGAGGTTGGTGGTTTTTGACTCGCACGACGACGACGGCGATGACGACGACGACGATGACGACGAATGCGAGATGGTACGAGGCTGGGCGGACCCGTGGTTCCTCCTCGAATCAGCCCTTGACGGCATCCAGACTGCGCCTGGTCTTGCCGGCGGCATTGAGCGCGGGTTCGGTACCCTTGTCCGAGGCCGAAGGACGCGAGGAGGACGAGGGGGAAGAGGGCCCGGTCCAGATAAAGTGCTGGAGTCCGCATCCGAAGCCGACCTGCCACTGTCGGGCCGTGGCCCAGGCCCAGAGGATGGCAAACACGGGCGTGCAGAGCCAGGCGTTGAGCACGGGCCCGAGGTCCGGGTAGCGCGTCGAGAGGTGGTTGTGCAGCTCCGTCGGCAGGATGTAGGGTCGCACCAGCTCGAGCAGATGCAGAGACAGCACCGCTGCTTGGACCAGCTGCGGATCGGGCGGGGGGCGGGTCGGATGGCGGGCAAGGGCGACACGGCAAGTCGGAACCCAGGCAAGCAAGGAGGAGAAAGGAAAAAACGGCAGGATCAGCACGCGGTCGAACGAGTCGAGGGATCGAATCGCCCCAGCGGCACGGCGGGTACCTACCGCGGCAAAGGTGGCGACGACGCCCTTGCCCCTGATGTCCCAGAAGCGATTTCCCACGAGCCAGTTCCACGCCAGCAGCAGCACGGCGTACTGCAGCGCCTGGCCGTCCCTCCGCAGCAGCGGGTACACGCTAAAGGCGCCGACGTTGTTGCCGAGCACCGCCCACGCCCAGTCCGAGGCCGTCGACCCGCCGCCCCACTGGTCGCCCTTGGCGCCCAGCAGCAACGTCAGCGGCAGCAGCGGCAGCAGGATCGACTTTTCGTGCGTCTGGAAGCCAAACAGGTAGAAGGCCATCGAGACCGAGAGCAGGCCGTACGGCAGCATCATGGCCGCCGGCGACGGCAGCGTCGAGGCGACGGCGACGGGACGCTCCGCTCCTGCCGCGTCGTGCGGCAGCAGCGAGGCCGGCCGCTTCGCTCCAGCCTCCCCGACCTGAGCCAACGGCGTGCCGGCGAGCAGAGACTGGAGGTCAGAGGCAGCGGCCGTGGAGGCCTGGCCCATCCGTCCTGCGGCGACCGAGCCAGAGATCGAGCTCGTCCTGCCCCCGCCGCCGCCGCCGCTCTTGCGCGATCGGGCGGTGAGAGCCTGCGAGGTCGATCGCTTCATGTCGGTCGGCGACGCGGGCCGAGGCGCTTTGCCGTTGCCAGTGCCAGTGCCAGTGCCAGTGCCATTGCCGTTGCCGTTGGCGTCGACAACCGTGGTGTTGGAGGTGGCGGCGATCGAAGAGACGCTCTCGCGCCGCGCTCTCGACTTGGCCATGGCCCGCTTGACCGTCTCGCCGTCCTCGACCATCATCTCGCGCTTGGCCGTCTCGGACGCGGCGACGAACAGCATCACGCACCCCGGCAGGATCATGACGAGCGTCGACAGCAGGCTGAGCCTCGCCAGCGCGGCGACGCTGAGCAGGTTGCGCAGCTTGAGCCGCTGCGGGATGGGTAGCACCGAGAGGAAGCACCACACGTTGGCCACCTTGTCCTCGAACAGGCCGCGCGAGAGCGGGAAAATGCGGTGAAACACCTGCCCGACCTGCTCGAGGCTCGTCAGCCAGGGAGCAAAGGCGATGCCGAACGTCGCCAGGACGCAAAGGCCGAGGCCGCAGAAGAGCGATAGGCCGCGCTCCGGATCCACCTGGACCAGGCCGATGCACCGACCCAGCATCACGGCGAAGACGGCGGGCGCATAGTAGAGCGCCATCTGCTTGAAGGCCAGGCTGAGGCAGAAGAAGAAGGCCGCCAGCACGTACTCGTAGCTGAGCCTCCGGCTGAGGTCCGTCACCCGCCCGGACCGCTCGCGCGCGCGTGTTGCCGATGCCGCCTTGCCGGATCTTGCGGACGTCGTGTTCGCATCGAGCGGGGGATTGGCGGCCGAGCTCGGACTCGGAAGCGTCGTATAGAGCAGCGCAAAGCACGCGGCGGCGAAGCCCAGCATGACGCTGTTGTACTGGAAGTGGCCATTGTCGATGAGGATCAGGGCGGGCTGCAGCAGGACCGACAGCAGCGCAATGGCGTGCGTCCGGCTGCCACGACCCTCGAGCCGCCGCGAGAGGAACCAGGTCACGGCCGGCACGTAGACGGCAAAGTCGAGCGTGACGACCGTGGCCCGCATAAAGGTGACGGTCGCCGCATCCTCGGCGCCCCGCGACGTGACAAAGGCCACGCCGTGTCGGACCCCCGGAAGGGCATCGGCGATACGAGCACACGCCAAGCTGATCCACGCCGTGAGCGGCGGATAGTCGAGGCCCCAGTAGTCGAGGTCGTAGAAGTACCACTGCGACGTCGGCAGGTGCAGCGTCAGTTCCAGCCAGTGCCGCTGCGCCTCAAAGTCGCCGAACAGCGGTGGCGTGGCCCGACCACTCCAGCCGCCCCGGCTTACGCTCCACTTGACTACGAGCACCGCCAGCAGGATCGACGGCGTCAGGACGCTGCGCAGGCCTTCCTTGGACATCCAGCGCACGAACCTGCGGATTGGCGTGTCCTCCTGCGACTTGTGGCCCGACAGCGCAAAGACGTCCGGCAGCGTCGGCAGCGGACCTGAGGTGCGCTGGCTCAGGATTGAGCGCGTGATGGACGGCGCGACCGAGGGAACTTTGGACGTTGAGCGCCGCCTTTGATGGGCGGGCGGGGAAAGGGCAGCGTTGACACCCGCACCGACACCGAGCTGTGCTAGGCCATCGAGTGTCCTGCTGCTGGTTAGACCGGGGCTCAATGGCGGCAGCGGAGGGACACCGAACGTGCCCTGGCCCATGGAACGAGAGAAATCGCTGTCCCTTCGCGCCGAGCTCTTCTTGCGAGGGCGTACACCCTCAACCGCCAGGGGGTCGGCGTCGGCGGCGGCAGCAGCAGCAGCGTCGACGCCGGCGCTCTTTGCGCGCCACTCTTCGATCGAGTCGATCTTCCGGTTGGCGGGGTCGACCGCAGCGTCGAGACCGCCCAGCGTGGCTCCAAGCGATGCCTGCAGCGCCGAGAAGCCGCTGCTCTCCTTGCGCCGCGAGCTCTCCTTGCGACGGCGTCGCACGTCGCCCGCCCCCGCACTCATCACGCCGGCGCTGAGCCCGGAGGCGGAGCCTGGTCCGCCCCGCCCGCGAGCGCTGCCGGCCTCGCTGAGCGTCATGCCGCTCGCCTTCTTGGTGATCCTGGCTTGCGGGCCAAAGGACTGGAAGGTGGGCGAGGCAAACATGCCGCCGTCGGGCATCTGCGGGCTCGAGGGCGACAGCGAGGCGAAGGCGTCGGCGGGTTGGGCTGTGGACCGGAGCCAGCCCTCGACCTCGGATGCGCTGGGCCTCGAAGATCCGTTGAGGCCAATGCCGGTCGAGGGCCGGCTGTTGCCCTCGCGGTGACGCCGCGGCTGCGAGGGTGGAGGCAGGCCCTGACGGGATGGGAAGCTGCCGCCGCCTCCGCCCAGCGCTGGGGATGTGAGCCCGCGGTAGGCCTGAGCGTTGTAGCCGGCGGGGAGGACGCTGCTGCCATAGGACGAGTGCGAGTTGTTTCGACCCCGCCTGCGCCTCGATGGTCCGAGCACGAGCCCGGTGTTCTCGTCGTACTCGTCTTCCAGCTGGGTGCCGTCGACACCGGCCGGAACGTCGCCGATGCGGGAGATGGAGGGCGAAGGGTCCCCGTAGAGCTGCTGTGAGGAGGTAGAAGGGGTGTTTGGGAAAGCAAGGCCGGCTGACAGCGGGCCGGACTGCAGATAGTGCTGATGCAACAGCTGCTGCTGCTGCTGCTGCTGCTGGCGGTACTGCTGCTGTTGGAGCAGGTGCTCAGAGTAGGAAGGGCGGGCGGCCGATGATCTAGACCTCGCTGGGGAGTGCGAGCGGTCCTTTGAATGACGGGAGACGGACGGCTGGCTGACGGAGACCATTGGGTGGGTCAACGAGGCGGCACGGGCGTCCTTGGTGGGTTGACTCGGTATTGTGGGCAGCTGGGGTTCAGAGGCCTCTCTCGGCATCCTGACGTCGTCGGCACCGGGTGGCGATGCGGATGAGCCGGTGTGATATCGCTGCTGGGCATCGATCCACTGGACGACGGGCTGGTCTGGCTGCAGCTCCTGGTCGGGGGCGTGGGCCGGTGGCCAGTCGTGGTTCTGCGCACTCATGGCGCGATGCAGATGCCAGGCCGGCCGGGTGAGGTGGCGGCCGAGCGGTCCAAGAACTGGAAGAGGATGTCGGCGTACGATGCGGCCGAAGAGCGTGGCAGAGCGGTGCCGTAGTCGTGAGCGGTGGTGGTGGTGGTGGTGGTGGTGGTGGTGGTGGTGGTGGTGGTGGCGGGGGAAGATCAACAGGCCTGAGCCAAGCTCGACCCGAGTCGAGGATCCCCGCACGGCGAGGCCCCGACCGGAAATCCGGGCCAGGCCGACCGGCCCGCCCCTGGCAGGCAGACAAAGGCGGGCAAGCGGGGCAGCCCCACGCGTCGAGCTTTCAAACCTGGCCCAAGCGCACTCAGGCCTGCCAGCCAAGGGCCAAGCCGCGCCAACAACACCACGTTCCGAGCAACCTTCCTCGTCTCCCCAGCACGACCAGACTCAGCCCAGGCAAGCATTGCCGCTCCTCAGCCTAGCCACCTCGATCCGACCATCGCGCCGCTCCGACGCCTTCCATCAGTCCCAAAGCTGCCACGGCAGTCCTCGACCACCGACTGCACCCAGCGGCGCTCTTCTCTACGCCGCGCAACCTCGCCTCGCAAACGACCCGCTCGCAGACGCAATGCAGCCAGTCGTATAGGAGCCTAGGGAGTTTGCTTTGCATTTTTGGTAGTGTGTGTGTGTGCGTGCGTGTGTGGGCTGCGCGTGTGTGGGCTGCGCGTGTGTGGATGAGGGCGTGCCGTGGGAGGTTTGGACCCACGGCGACGATCTCCTTCTCTTCAGGGAGACGACGGTCGGCGAGGATGGTGGGGCATGCGCGCTTGCTGGCTGGATGTAATACAGAGAAGTGGGAAAGAGAGGAGCCACAACACGCTCGCTCGTTCGTGCCCCTTCCTTGCCACGGCAGCAAACAGGGCCGAGCAGGAAATACGAGACGAGCGAGGGAGGAGGGAAAACGCCGAGACCAGGAAACCACCGAGACGAATGCAACGAGATGTCGCACATTTAGGCCTCGGTCAGCTCGCGCAGACGGCGGATGGTGCTGTGAGGTGGGGCCATGGCAAGGGGAGCAGAACGAGTCAGTATGAGGTTGCCGCACGAAGCGCTGGCCGACATGGCTCCCTTCCTTCCGGCGTCGCCCCCTTCGACCGGCACGAGCAGCCGTCGAGAGGGTACGCTCGCCCATACAGCCTCGATGCTCTCGAGCCTTGCCTGCCTCCAGCAAAGTGCTTTGTCCAACGCGGGAATCCTTCCACCGCCCTTTGCCTCGCCCCTTGCGCTGCTGGTCTGCCAGTCTCGCGGTCCGCCGTCGAGGGCGTCATCGTGTCCGTCCAGACCTCCACCATATCCCGAGCACGTCGCGACGAGCCATCTCTGGTCCACGACATGGCTGGACACTCACCTGCGGACGGTGGCAGCAGCGGTGGTGGAGAGGGTCCAGGCGCCGCCGGCCATGGTCTTGCGGCAGGCGCGGCACTCCCAGATGCCGACAGCCTTCCTCTTGACGGCGTCCTTGCCGCAGAAGGTGCAGGTGTACTTGCTGTGCTGCGAGATCTCAATCTTCTTGACCTGTCGTCGCAGCGACGCACCGTATCGCGTGCCGTACTTTCCGGTGATTCCGACCTTGGCAGTGCGCTTGGACTGAAGAGCGACGTGGAGAAAGGCGCAGAGTGCGGCGGGGCGAGGTTAGCGCATGTGTGAGGGCAACACGTTTCGATTCTACCGCCACGGCCCTGAGCCACGCATCCGGCCGGCGAGACCAAGGCAGAGACGAAGACGCGAGAGAGAGACGGAACGGGGCGAAGAGCAGATGGTCGAGGTCGAGGTCGGGGCCGAGCGCTGTCGAGTCGAGCAATCAGGGCTGGTGTCGTCAAAGCCGGCTGAGGGCGCAGAGGGCGAGTAGAGGGCAGGACACGTCGCAGTTGGCGGTTGTTGGAGGCTGCGAATGCCACCCGGCTGGCCAGTTCAAAAGGAACGATGCCAGACGGTGCAAAGCTTCCGAGTGGCAGCCTGACAGTTGCAGCGTTTCATCCTTGGGCGCTGCGTGCTGCCCTGCACGGCTGTCGGGGCTGCCGCCTTTGGCTTCTCTTCCTCCAAATGTCGCTCGTCGTTGCTGCGAGCCGCATACCGCCCAAGGGTCGGCTTTCGACACTTTGCCCCTTGATGTATCCTGCATTTCCCCTCCCCTGAGGCCATCTGAGCTGAACATCGCTGTGTCGTCGTCGTCGTTTGAGTCGCAAAGGATCGGAGTCGGCGATAGCATAATGTCGCCTGGGCCGCGGGCAAGGTCGATCGGTGCAGGCCGTAGAATAGTCGCTCCTTCGTATCGCTCTTCGTCGGCGCTGTTTCGAACCCTCTTTTGCATCTCCTCGGGTCTCTCTGGTGGTCTCGCGGGCGATGGCGTCGTATCGTGGCCGTGGTGCTGCTGGATGGCGACGTGGGACAGCAGGCACTCACCATCTTGACGAGTTTGGCGGGTGGGGTATGTGAAAAGGGTGGAGTGAGAAGGAAGCGGGTAGGTCGAGGAGCGAGCCTTGGCCGCCCCGCCAGCCCAGCCAGCGCACGCTGCGCCGTCCCCATACTCCCCTTGTCGGCGCCCGACGGCCACGGCCTCGCCTGCCAGCCCTGCTCTTCCCCTCCCTCGCGCAGAGTGACGGGCCCGCCGCCAGCCACGCTCATGACTTTGGCTTGGCTGGGCTGGCCAGGCTGGGCTGGCTGGCCCGCCGACCCTGGGTCAGGGCATTGTGAATGCCGGTGCCGGAAATTTGCTGCCCTCGCTCTGACGCTGGCGGGCCAGATCACTTGATTTTCGGTGGCCGCCTGTTGGCTGGGCGAGCGTGGGAATTTTTCAGGTCGCGCCTCGGCAGCGCGGTTCTGGCGGGCGGGCAGCTTGAGGCTTGGAGGAAATTCCGCAAAGCGCCCGCCCGCTGCCCATCCAGAGTGCGGATGGGTGGGCGAGCGAGCGACGGACGGCGGGTGCGAAGGTTTGGCTTGGAAAGGCCAGGCTTGGCCCAGCCAGCCAGGCGGGAGCCAGCCAGGCGGCGAGGTCGAAGGAGAGAAGGGGTGGTCGGCCAACCAGCCAACCAGCCAGCCAGCCAGCCAAGCCAAGCCAGCCGCGAGCCAGGCTGGCAGACGAGCGGAAGCGGGCAGAGGCCGTCCGAGCCTGGCACCGCATCCCGTCTGCCCGACACCGTGACCCAACCCTAGCCACTGCGCCAGCCTGCTCCGCATACCCTACCCCTTCGACCACATCAAGGACCCTTCAAGATGGTGAGCAGCCGTCGACGCCGTCGCCATCACACGCCTCTCGTGCTACATCGCCCGTCCGCTCGCTCGCTCGCTCGCATCGCCCGGCGCGTCGGCAAAGGCGGAGGCAACGGCGGCCACGTATCAACAACTCCTGCTCTGCTCTGCTCTCGGCGACGACGACGACAACAAGGGCAGATATCGTCGTTCATCAGCCGACGTTCCGAGCAGGAGCGAGACACGTATCGCCCATGTTGCCGCCGCCGATGCCGATGACCCCTACGACGACTACGACGACGAGACGACGATGAGCACGAGGGGTTTGCGGCCGGTGCCGGAGCCTCGATAAACGTGCCCAGATTTCTGACCTCTATGCTGTCTCTCTGCCCGTCTCCTTTGCGCTCTTGCCCTGCCCGACTTGACGATGACGACGTCAATCGCTATCCCGACCTCGACTTCGAACCTCGACTTTGATCGACCTTGAATCTGTCTTGGCCTCCGACGACTTCGATCCCGACCCTGATCTCTGCCCCCGTCCTTTCCATCTATGATGCTGCCGTTCGACCGACCAATCGACCTCTGACGCCACCGCCGAATCACCATCGCCGCCGCCGCCGCCGCCGCTGCCGCCGCTGCCGCTCCAACAGGACGCCACTTCGCCGATCACCCTGCGCACTCGCAAGTTCATCACCAACCGTCTGCTCCAGAGGAAGCAGATGGTTCTGGATGTCATCCACCCTGCCCGCCCCAACGTCTCCAAGGCGGAGCTCTCGGAGAAGCTGGGCGCCATGTACAAGGCGCCCAAGGAGCAGGTCATCGTCTTCGGCATGAGGACCGCATTCGGTGGCGGACGCTCCACCGGCTTCGCCCTCATCTACGACAGCAGGGAGTCGATGAAGTTCGAGCCCAAGCACAGGCTTGTCCGCGTGAGTATCGGGCGATCGTGCTCGGCCGTCGGCGATGGGTCGCTGGGAGGAATACGACGGCAGCCCGATGTTGGGGACGAGGAGGACCGCCAGAGGGATTGGAGAGGGTCAGTCGGCGGAGCAGGCAAGATGGGATGGCGGGTCATCGTGGGGCTGCTGGGCTTTTGGGAGAGTCTTTCGACGGAGACGTGCCTGGAGGAGCCATGCTGCAGCCCCGGGGGACCCAAAGGAGAGGCTGGAGGATCCGTCAGTCAGGTCGAGGTGGAAGGAGGCCCGACTCACGGACCCACTGCCGGACCTCGGGTGCCAGGAGGCTGGACGGGAACTCGGAGAAGGAAGCAGCGCAGGTCAGCAGCGGGTGTCTGGCGGCCACCATCGATGTCGCGGCAGGATCGGCGCGGCGGGCAGGGTCAGGCTCAGGCCCAGGGCCCTGGACGAGCAGATGACGGCCCCACCACCCAGCGTCGCGTCGAGACTTACACCTCATTTCCCTCTCTCTCCTCTGCACTGCCGCTCTGCAACGACAACAGGTCGGCCTGGCCACCAAGACCGAGAAGGCCTCGCGAAAGCTCAGGAAGGAGCGCAAGAACCGCTCCAAGAAGGTCCGCGGTACCAAGAAGGTCAAGGCCGGCGACGCCAAGAAGAAGTAAACGGGCAGGCGCGGGAATCCAGAACGCGTGGGGGGAAAGGGTCAGCCAGGCCCGACCCGACCACCCACCCACCCACCATCTCCCACAAAAAGGGGGGAGAGGAGGCGACGCACGACCCCATCACCTCTGTCCGCCCCTCCTCCTCGCCGCGCACGCACGCACGCGCTGCGCATCCTACACCTCCTCAGTCTCTTGTTTGGGGCCGCCCTCCAGTCCCGTGTACCACCTGTTTTGCTGCTGCAATCCCACCCTCTTCCCGACTCACCCTTTTCGCCACTCGGTTCCGGTGTCCGGATCGGCGTGGATATGCCGTCGTCGTCGCCGTCCACACTATGCCTCTATTCACGATGGGGAGGTGGGAGGGTTGGAGCAGCAAACGAGGGGTTCGGAGGGAGGGGGAGCCCAGCCTTCGTAAGCGCCCAGATCATAGGCCCTTTACGCACCCACCCATCCACGCACACCCGCGGGCGTATCGAATAAGACAAAGAAAGACCTACCAGACACCCTGTGCGGTACGACCTCGTGGACGCCTGTTGCACGCCCGTGGGAGAATGAGAGGGGGAGAGAAGCCGAAGAGGGCCGTTACGAGAGCCACCGTCCCCGTCGCGCTGCAGTCCTTGCTCGGCCATACTTACCATCCTCCGCCGACAACGACATGGGCCCTGCTCCCCTCGTCCGTCGGGTTGTGCTGCCAGATCGCAGCTCGGCACCATCAAGGCACGGTGAGGCCTAGGCTGACCTGGGCCGCTGATGTGAACGATGGGACGCGATGCAATTGATGCGACCGTCGCATGCGCCATCGTCGGACGCGATGCGATGCCATGCGATGCGGTGATGCGGTGATGCGCTCAGGCCCTCTGGCGCCGCCCACGCAAAAAGTCTACACGACGCTCCCGATCCCCATCCTCGTCGCCGTCGCCGTCGCCGTCGCCGTCGCCGTCGCGTCGACCGAGGAAAAGCTACCGCTAAAGTCGAGGCGCAGCAGCAGCTGCTCGAGGTGCCTCCGTGCCGCCCCGTCGGCCTCGATCCGCGCTTCGTTGACGCCGCTGTTGGCCTTCTCCCTTTTCGCACCCTCGCCGCCCGCCGTGGGGCCGCCCGGCTGGTGCGATGGCTGTCGTCCCAGCAACGACGGCGGCAGGATCCGAGGCCGGATCAGGCTCTCGTCTCCCGCCTGCTGCTGCGATGCTCCCGATGTCGATGCCGCTGCTGTCGCTGACGCACCGTTGCCATCTTTCACCCCTCCCTCTCCCTCTCCCGCAGTGGCATTCGCCGGAACTCCCGCCGATGACGACGACGAGGCATTGTTGAGCAGGTTGAAAAAGTCGCGCAGCCGGCCTTGCAGCGTCGCCTCGATCTCCTCGACGTCCTTGCGGCGCATGGCGACAATGTTCTGCATGTTGGTCGCCGTCGCCGCACTCAGGCCGCCCTCGGAGAGGAGCGAAGGCAGCACGTCGCCGCCCCACCGCTCGACCAGCCCGACAAACCGCTCGCACGTCTCGAGGATGGATCGGATCAGGTTCGACGCCGTCGGCGACGACAGCAGCAGGCCGTCCTGCAGAAAGGTGAGAAAGTAGGAGTGCGTCAGCCGCAGAGAGGTAAAGTCGAGCGTGGCGACCTCGTCTGCGCCGCCGTCGTGGCCCAGGGTGCGGTAGGACCGTAGCGTGGCAGGCGCGACGGCCGAAAGACCGGGCCCGGGCCCGCTCCGAAGATGCGGCCGGTAGTGCGATGGCGCAACGCTGCCGCTGCCATCGCCGCCGGCGCCTCCGCCACCGTACGTCGAGCCGGGAAAGGGGATCCGCCTGTTGCCGCCCACGGCGGTCCCGAGCGCACCTGGCGGGAAGCCGCGCAGCGATGCCCGTGGCGTCTGGTGGCCCAACGTCGAGCCGGCGTACGTCGTCGGTGGTGCAGCGTGCGGCGTCGCGCTGCCCGAGCCTGCCGCCTCGCCGGCGTCGGTGGCATGCGTGAGCGACGAGGCCGACCTGCTCGAGTCCTTGCGGTCTCTGGCGCTCGACGCTCCTCTGCGCAGTGATCCCCGGCTGCCGCTCTTGTGGAGCCCGGGCGTCGAAGCCGAGGCCGCCCCGCCCGTTGCCATCGCCGTCGCCGTCGCGTCAGCTCGGCGTCCCGTCAGCTGCGAAAGGAGCCGAGTGTACTGGACGTCGATGACGTCGGTCTGGAAATGGCCCAGCAGCGTGTCGAGGAACCAGAGCATGTTGCGCGTCAGCCCCCAGCTGCGGCGCAGCAGCTCGGTGCGCCGGCGCTCCTCGCCCCGGTCGACGCCGCCCTCGCCCGTGCCCGTGAAGCGCCGGCGGATGCGCTGGCTCTTGCTCAGGCTCGTCCAGCAGCCCAGCACGCGCGACTGGACCCGCTTGAGCGCGAAGAGGTAGGCAAATAGGCGAGAGTAGGCCGCCAGGTCGGCCGGCGAGAGGAAGAGGTCGAGCGGAAAGGTGGGGGTCAAGTGCAGCTGGGCCGGCACGCCGATGATAAGGTCGTCGAACCGAGCCGGCGCCTGCCTGGAGCGCGGATCGGGGCGATGCGACGACGACGAAGAAGACTGCGCCGCGCCTGCAGAGCGGAACTGGCCTCCAGGCAGGACAAAGCGCAGCTTCTCGAGCGAAGGGTCGTCTTCCGCGCCCGTGCCGACGCTGGCGCGGTGGAGCGCGAGCTCCAGATCGCTGGCGCGGATGGCGCCGGCGGCGGCGGACCGCGTGTGCAGAAGCTTGTTCCTCCGCATCGCCTCAATCTCGGCGAGGAGGGAGAGGGTGAAGGTGCCCTCCCGCTGGAGAAAGTAGTTGCCGAGCGTCTCGAGGGAATCGAGGACGAGCTCGGTGGTGAGGACGTTGCGGAATAGCCACTCGCTAATGTCGCTGCGGATCTCCTGGACGGCGCGGTCTAGCGCGGCGGGGTGCGATGGCCGGTTCTGCCGCCGCTGCAGCAGCGCGACGTGCTGCGCCGTCATGGATTCGGGAGGCAGCATCGAGCCGCCGGTCCCTGGCTGAGAGCTGCTGCCGCGCGAGACTGCTGCCGTCGAGGACCGCACAGTGTTGAGGGCCCTGCCGACGTAGAGAATCGAATCGGCTGTGGCTTCCGAGATGGAGCTGGGCAGCGCGTGTGGCCGGAATCGCCAGGTACTCGTCGTCAACGCCCAGTCCTCGGTCGCCGGCGTCGTGGTCGCGGCGGTGTCTCGCCCGCCGAGCGAGCCTTGGGCGCCGCCGTCTGCGCCGCCAGTCTGCATGCTGGCAGACGTGTCGGACCATTCCACTAGCTGATCCTTGGTTGGTGGCCCGCGCCCATGGGACCTCGACGACGCGGCTATGGCGGCCACATCGCCATCCGGGTTGGCTTGGCCGTAGCAGACCCAGGCGACCAGGCCGGCGGTCCAGCTCTCCTCGACTGCATCGCGCAAGGCCGTCATACACTGGGCGACGCGTTCGACTCCGGTCGAGGCGCGGTGAACGAGCAGGTCGATGAGTTGGCCGCCCGTCCACGCGGACGAGGCGCGCAGGGCCGGTGCCGGGGCGGACGAGGGCGGTGGCAGCGATCGTCCAGCGTCGGCGGCCTCGACGTCGGTAGACTCGGGGGCGGGGCGGTCTGTCCCGTGTGGACCTCGGACGAGTGCGTTGACGAGGTCGTCGAGCGCCGAGAGCGGGGCGTCCCACGGCTGCATGCGTGCGCGTATGTTTGCCAGACTGACAAAGCCCTTTTCGGCGACGAGGTCCGGGTCATTTGAGAGGATGTCGCGCTCGATGGTGAGCACGAGCTGGTGGTAGTCGGCCAGGAGCGCGAGGAGGGTCGAGCAGAGCGGGACGATGTGCGCGGTGGTGGTGGCGGCAGTTTGCTGGGCCTGCGAAGCGTTCGGGTCTGCGCTGCGAGATCTCGAGGGGCTGGACGAGAGCGAGTTTGCGCGGATGGCGGAGCGGATGGCGCGCCTGCGTGCATGGTCGAGCTCTGCATGGGCAAAGGCCCTGATGCGCACGTATCGCGAGCTGTAGGATGCGAGCGCGTTGAGGATGTGTACCTCTGCGGGGTGGAGGTGGGGTATGTCGTCGCGGACGCGGAGGGTGGTGGCGGTGTGGTAAGAGGGCGAGGCCGATGGGGAGGCCGCTGTTGGCGCCGACGACGACAACGACGACGACGACGACGAGAAGAGCGAGGAAGGGTGGCCCGCCAGGGTGGCGAGGAGTTCGGCCATCATCTTGGTGGCATGGCGTGGGTTGCGAGGCGATGGTGTGGCTCAAGGTCGACGGTGATGGCTGAGTCCAAGGTGACGAGCGGAGGGCAGCCGAGGAAAAAGAAGACGAGAGCGAGGCAGAGTGGTTGGGGGAGCAAGCAAGACAAAGCGAGGTGGGGTTGGGGCAAGAGACCAACACTCGACTCGACTCGCCCTGGCCTGACCCCTCCTTGTTGGCAGCCGCGTCGCGCAGCAGGCAGGCGTAGGCTTGCAGGTAGGCTGACCCAGGCCTGAGGCAGGCAGGCCAGGCTTGGATCGGGCTGAGCAAGCCCCAGATCGGGAGTCTGGCTTGGGCGCCTCCACTTGGCGTGGCAGGCCGGTGATTCACCTGCCGACCTGCGTCACTGCGGGGCTGCCTGTGGGGCCCATGGTGGCATCCTCCTGGCTGCCCCTCACCTCCTCTCGCTGCCGCCACCATCACCACCGCCACCACCGCCACCACCGCCACCACCGCCACCACCACCACCACCACCACCACCACCCGCCCATTCTCACTGCCCACCCCTCGTGGAACAATCCCCTGTCCACCGCTTCCCTCTCCCTCCCCGACCATAGACGACACACACACCATGTCCTCGCTGCGCAAGTGGTTCTCGCAGCCCGTCTCAGTCCTCTGGCGCACCGCCCTCGTACGCCTGCCCCGCGCCGTACCCATCTCGACGCTCAAGTACACCAGCCCAGAGGGCCCCCACCCGTTCATCTACAACCTCCCCTCCCGCAGCCCGCGAGAGTACTCGATCCCGCTCTACATCTTCATTCCGACCTCCATCATCGACCGGTCGCCTGCGGACGACGCGCCCGTACCCGTCCTGGTCGACTTCCACGGCGGCGGCTTCTACCTCGGCAGCTGCCTCGAGCAGGCTCCCTTCTGCGCCCAGCTCGCCCGACAGATGGACTGCGTCGTTATCAGCGTCGACTACCGCATGGGCCCCTTCCACCGCTTCCCCGCCGCCATCGAGGACGGAGAAGACGTCCTCAAGGCGCTCCTCGATCAAGACGCAAACGGTTACGCCGAGCTCCGCAGCGTCATCGCCATGCGCATCGGACGTGCAAGGGCAGAGGGCAGGCAGAAGATGGAGCAGGAGGCCCAAAAGCAGGCCGAGCAGCTCGCCGAGGGCAAGATCGAGCAGGTCGTCGCACCCGCAAAAGACCCAAACCAGGCCCAGCCCGAGTCCGGGTCCGGGTCCGCGGACGACGCCGTCCAAGACGTCCGCTTCGACTTTGACCGGAAGCGCGTGGCCATCTCGGGCTTCTCGTCGGGCGGCAACCTCGCCCTCAACCTGGCGCTCCACCTCGAGCCCCCGGAGCTCGACCGGCCCTGGCCCACCGTGTTTGGCAAGGACTACGAGGCGCCCATCTCGGTGCTCCTCTTCTACCCCTCGCTCGATCTCCGCCAGCTGCCGTCGGAGCGCACCAAGCCCGAAAACATGCCCGTCGGCTCCACCTTCTGGGGCCAGGTCTCGGACCTGCTCGCCCCCACGTACGTGCCGCGCGACGAGGCGCACCACCCGCGCGCCTCGCCCGGCCTGGCCTCGATCGACGCCATCCACCCGCAGGCCAAGATCTTTCTCGTCCTCGCCGAGCTCGACAGCCTGTCGGAGCAGTCCAAGGCGTGGGTGGCCAAGATCGAGGACCACAAAAACAAGACCGACGACGTCGTCATCGAGGAGGTCAAGGGCGTCAAGCACGGCTGGACCCAGATGCCCAACAGCTGGCTCACGGCCGAGGAGCGCCTGCTCAAGCAGGCTTGCTTTGAAAAGGCCCGCGCCTTTACGGAGTGGGCCTGGGGCGGGTCACGGCCGGGCGAGGGGAGGCCAGTCTCGGGCGTGTCGCATCCGCCAACGCGGACACCGGCGCCGCAGCCGGGCCAGGGCGAGGGCGGCGGAGACAAGATCGACCTGGGCAGCGCGTCGCTCGAGGAGCGGTGACGGGGCGGTGGGCCGATGGGCCAGCCAGGCGTTCCCACGCAGCGTGTGTATATAGAGGACCTGATCGACGGCTTCAGATCGTAAATGTCGAGTCGTTGGCTGGCAAGCCGGCCGGCCGGCTGCCATCGTCGTCGCAGCGTGTCATGACCGTCCATCGCCTTGCTGAGCAGCGAGAAAGTCCTCGTTGGCGCGGAGGTGCGACCGTATCGCGTCGTACTCTCGCCGCTGCTTGGCCGGATCGGGAGAGGCGACGACTCGGCCCTCGCTCCGGCCGAGCTGGGTATGTGCCTCGATCCAGTCGTCTGCCAGTCTTCCCGCCGCCCCCTCGTCGGTGGTCGATGACGGCGGTTCTGGCTGCACGGACCGATGATGCGGTATCGAGTCGCTCGTTGCGCCCGCGTCGGACGGTGGGCGTTCACCCTCGACGGTAGGAGGGGGTACTGGATCGTGTGTCGTCGTCCGGCTGTGCTGGTCGAGGAGCTCGCGCTGGGCCTGGAAGATGGCGTCGAGCGGGTCCGGCGTGTGCCGTGCAGTCGAGGTTGTCAAGAGCCGTCGCAGCGGGTTGGAATAGACCCGCAGCAAGTTCGATGAGCGGAGCATGGCGGGCAGACACGGGCTCGGAGCGGTGGTGGCGGTGATGGTGGTGGAAGCAAGACGCCAGAAGTGTGGTTCCGGTCCCGTCTGGATGGCTCCTCCACTCCGTGGGCGAGCCGCGCCTTTTCCCTCTCCCACCCGCCGGCGAGCCACCATCTAACTATCTATCCAGCCAGCCCGACTCCGGCCCCATCTGCCAACTGCCAACTGCGGCATCTACGACTCTACTGCCATCCAAAGAGGAAACCACGGACCTTTCCCCTCCATCCATTCGGATCGGCAGGGCCGGCCTCTTTGAACTTCCACCTGCCCGTGCTGCTGCGCACGAGGCGGTAGTAGGGCCTTCCCTCCTCGTCGGCCGTGGCGGCGGGGGCGTCCTTGGCCTTGTCACCCGTGCCCGTGCTCTTGCCCTTGCCCTTGCCCTTGTCCTTATCCTTGCCCGTGGCCGTATCATCGACCCTGACCATCTCGATCCGCTTCGTCTGCGCGTTGAACGACACCTTGTAGCGCGCCGTCGGATCCGGCTGCGGCGGCAGCGGCGTCGCCGTCGCCGTGTGGTAGACGGGCAGGTTGACCATGTACAGCAGCGCGAGCGCAAGCCTGTCGATGCGGCGCCCAAGTGCAGAGAGAGAGAGAGGGGGGAGAAGTGGGAGGGGAAGGGACACTGTCAGCCCGCGTGTGGTTGAGCAGAAAGAGAGTGGGTGCGGCAGATGGGCGCAAAAGAGACGTACAGCAGAGGGAGGATGCCGAGGAGGTAGAACGGAGCGGGCCTCTCGACCCCGGTCCGCACACTCGACAGCGTGGTCCAGTCGGGCTGGCCGTCGGATCGAACGCCCCAGCACGAGGCGCTGCCGCTGCCTCCGACGGCGACGACCAGAGCGCCGTGATCCCCGACATGTGCGTTGGCGGTGGCTGCGACGGGGTGCTGCCACTTTTCCCAACCGGCGTCCCACACGTCTTGAGCAGCCCAGTCTCGAAGGATGCGCCAGACAAAGTGGACCGAGAGGAGCACGGCAACGAGCACGACGTGCACCAGGATGCGTGCGGCGAGCGCGTGGCGAAGGCGGACGACGACGATGCTGCGCAGTGTCAGGCGGGACATCTGAGCGGAGGTCAGCCAGGCTGTCCTTCGCCGCAGTCGAGGGTGAGCCCAGCATCTCCTGCCCCCTCTCCGCACTCACAGGATTCCGACGGTCACGAGGCAGCAGATTGCGAGCCAGTCGGCGACGAGGGGCAACAGCGAGAGGTTCTGGGACGACGTCGAGTCGCAGTTGTCGCCTCGTTCGGTCCAGGTATCCAGGACTGGCCGCGATCGTCGCCACGGGGTGTCCCTCCAAAGACAGGTCAGCATACCTTCGACTTGACATCGCCTGTGCAGCACCAACGACTCACAGGTCTGCAGCATACAGGCTGCGGTGACGTAGAGGAAGAAGACGACGAGGTTGCACAGGCGCAAGGCGTAGCTCGAGTGGAGGATCCAGGTGCTCTGCTCGGCGCGCTTGGCCAGCAGACCAAAGAGCTGCAGCATCGCCTCGACCAGGAAGAGGGGCAGGCACATGAGGATGGCGTGCGACGCCACAATGTGGCCCGTATTGGCGATGTTGTTGGAAGTCCACGCGCTGCACGGTCCGGCAGCGTCGAGGGCGAGGGCGAGGACGAGGGCGAGGGCACAAGGGGTTAAATCAGTTGCGGTCGGGCAGCATGGGCAAAGAGAGCAAGGAGGGCGCCGGCGGACCGGTGATGATGCTCACCGCGTGCCAAAGTAACCCAGCATGCCGCCGGCAAAGACGACGGCGGGGATCAGGTTGATCAGGACGGCGAGGTTCTTGCGGCAGGCAAAGAGGCGCAGCAGCCCGACGACGAAAAAGACGACAAAGGCGAAGAGGAAGACGACGGAGCTGCGGTCGTCGAGTTCGGACGAGTCAGCAAGCGGACAGGCAGGAGGAAGGATCAGCCTGGGTCTGTCTGTGTGCGCTGTGCCAGGATCTTGGCCCGACCGCCCGGTTCAGGGGGCTACCCACGGGGCGAGGTCGGCGGCGCGTCTGGGCGAGGCGCCATAGACGACTGCGATCCAGGCGACGATGCACCCGCAAAGCTGGTCGAGCCTGCTCTCGCGATCCTTGGCGTCGGGACTGCACCAGTGTTGAGACGCACAGGATCCCTCAGGCGACGGGAGCGGGTTCCAAGTCGAGGTCCAGTTCGTGGTCGGCATCGTCGTCGGCGTCGTCGCGACCCAGCTGGTCGAGGTGCGCGTGACGAGCTGCGTCGTCGTGACCGTGACAGTCGCCGGGCCCGAGACCGGGTCGTCGTGCCACCTTCGCAGCAGCAGGTCGGCGTCGTGGTACATGCGGTCTTGCAGGCCAAACCTCAGTCGATCGATGGCGACGCCGATGTCGACGTCGACCTCGGGATCGACGCCCCTCTTCTGCCTCGTCCGCGAGTCCACGGTCAAGTCGTCGAACGAGGCGTTGACCAAGGCGCGGCGGACGGGGGTCGTGAGGTCCTCAGGCCAGCGTGCCGTGCGCACGCAGCAGGTGGCGCTGGCGGCCGCCTCGACGGTGCGCGTGGCGGTCTGCAGCACGGTGCATGTCGTCGTCGCCGTCGCGGTAGCGGTGCCAGCAGGCTGCATAGCGGTCCAGGGGGACGGCGAGGGGGTCGACCACGCGTCGCCGGCGCCGGTCGTCGTGGAGCAAGAGGTGGTGGTGATGTCGATCGGGATCCAGCTCTCGACGACTAGAGGCGTGCACGTCTCGCAGGGCGAGCGAGGACGCGCATCCAGCATCCGCTCGTGGGCGAATGGCGTCGGGGCCGGACGTGGAGCGCGTGCCAGAAGAGGTACGGGCGTCGCCATGATGAGGGATGGTCGGCGGTCAGGCTCGAACAGACGAGGGGACGGTGGTGATGGCGACGGTGGTGGTTGGTGAGAGAGGCAAGCGCCCGACCACGCCGGCCGCCCGCCTCAAGGCGATCGCCGTGTTGTTGACCGCGATGCCAGCCTCTCAACCCACCTGATGAAGACGGGTAGAAGTTGCCGGACGAAGACACGTACGACCGCCGCGCCGCGACGGAGGCGCAGGCCGCACCCTCCGCATCGGAACGGGCGTGGGGTGAGAACGTAAAATCCTGCGCTTGCGCCAGCAGGCGGGAGAGGGGGGGCCAACGAGGTCGGTCGGCACGCGGTACGGGGGACCTCGTGATGGGCGCTCGGGGCGTTCGACGTGTGGTGCAAGCTAAGCCTGTCTTGACGTCGGATCCAGATGAACGGTACGGCCGCCAGTGCGTGCGTGCGAGCTCGACCCGCGAGCAGGGCAGGCAGCGGCAGACGGACGACGATGACGATGAATGTTGCTTCGATGCGTGCAGGACGGAAGCTAGCGTCGATGACGGACGGTGACAGGAGGCCGACGGACAGGAGGCGTGGCAAAGCAGCGGCGAGGATCACGACAATGATCCGCCATCGACGCCCGCCCCCGAGCCGCGCCGTGGGGAACGAACGAGCGAGTGTGGACCTAGTCTGCGAGACGGATGATAGGCTATTGCGATGGAGACGGATGAAGGAACGTGCAGATCGAGATCGTGAGGCCGGCGTGGGCTGAGAAGCAGCAGCCGGCCTGTCCTCGGGGACAGAGACGGAGATGGAGATGAGATGAGACGAAGCATCCTGGCGAGAGATAAGCGAGCCGAGTGTATGTCTTGGGCGGCCTGGAGGTCTAGGACGACGGGCGCGCTCGGCAGCGGCGCGCACGCCTCAGCCCTGCTGCATGTGGCTGGGCTGCGAATAGTGGTGCGGCGAACCGTAGAACATGCCATCGGGCGCCTGGTGTGCGTGGTGTTTGAGGCCTCCGTTAGCGTCGACCGAAGCTGCAATCTGGCTAAAGGGCGGCAGCGTCGTGTTCGACGGACCGCCACTGCCGCCGCCGCCGTTGCCCATCGCGTTGGCGTGCGGCACCTGGAAGATGGGGTTGACGCTGTTGACGCTGGGCGCCGGCCCGTGCTGCTGCTGGTGGTGATGCTGCTGGTGCTGGAGGTGGGCGAGCGGGGCCAGCTGCGTCCCCTCGGCCGAGCCCATGCCGCCGCGCGGATCGCGCTGGCCGTTGCCCGGCAGCGCCTGGTGGAGCGGCGGAAGCTGGTATCCTTGGTGGTAGGCGGCCGAGCCCTGCGATGCGCCGGCGGCGGCGGCCCCGTGCGAGTACGGGTGGAAGCGCGGGATGCCCGAGGCGTGGTGGAGCGGCGAGGCCGAGCCCTGGCGATGGGCGGATGCCGAAGAGGCCCGGCTGTTTGCGCGGCTCTGGCGGCTCACCGACTGCCGGCTGCCCACGAGGTGGACGGGTCCCGGCGACACGTTGCCGGGTGTACGGCTGCGCGCCTCTGCGGCCGTCATGTTTTCCATGTTGGTGATGAGCTGGTGGTCGAGGGAGCTGATGGAGCGCGTCTCCTGCGAGCTCCGGTGCGAGTTGGCCGAGGGCGCGAACCGCCGCGGGTCGGCCATGGCCGACGCCGACGCCAACGACGACGACGAGTTGGCCCTCTGCATCCGGTTGTGCACGGGCAGCTGCTGCCGGTTGACGGGACCCGGGTCGCTGTCGCCAGTGGCGTACGACTGCACCGAGATGCGCCGCGGGTCCATGGCGTCCTCGAAGCTCGACATCGAATGGTCGTCGTCGTAGCCGCGCCGCCGCGCCTTTGAGGATCGGCTGTACTGCGGGCCGCCGACGCCCCGCCAGGCCATGTTGGACGCCATCGCCGGGCTGGTGACGCGGCCGGCAAAGTCGGGGCTCGTTGGCTGCGACGAGTGCTGGGCGTGGAGCGGCGAGTGCGGGTAGTCGTTGGACGGGAAGGTGGCGACCGACGGCGACAGCTGCATCCCCGGCGGCACCGGCTGCTTGCCGCGCGCCTTTTCGCTCGGCCCGGGCGCTCGCGGGGCGGCGTCGTCGGTCTGCACCGTGCCGCTGAGCCACTCGACGGCCTCCTTGGTGTTGGACGACGCCAGCAGCTGGTTGCGCTTCTGGATCACCGCCCTCGCCCGGTCCCGCGCCGCCTTCTGCTGCGCCTCGCGACGCGCTTTTTCCGCCTCTTTGGCTGCCCGCTCGGCCTCCTTCTTGGCCTTTTTCGGGTCGAGCTGCGTGATGCTCGAGCTCGGCGAGACCGAGGCGGGCGCCGCCTGGTGCTCGGCGGCCAGCTTCTGCGCCGGTGTCTGCTGGCCGTAGAGGCCCTGCTGGCCCTGCCCGGCGTGACGCAGCTCGCTGCTGTTGGCGCTGCCGCTCTGCGGGCTGTTGCTGTTGCCGCCGCCGCCGCCGCCGCCGAAGATGTGCAGCCCCCAGCCCTTGCTCCTCCGCCGCTCCTTTTCCCGAGAGCCGATGGTCTCGTTGCTGGCGTTCGAGTCGTTCTGCTGCGAAAGCTCGCTCGAGGATCCGACCATGCCCGCGGCCTGCTGTGCCGCTCGCGATGCCACGCCGTGGTCCGCCTGGTGGGCGTAGATCTGCTGCTGCTGCTGGTGCTGCGCAGAGGCGTAGGCCTGCCTCTGCTGCGAAGTGGCCTGCGCCTGCTGCGGCTGCCGGGCCGATCGCTCTTTGCCGTACGCAAGCGTCAGATCGTCGTCGTACACCGTCCTTCCGCTGACGTGGCGGTGGCTATCGTTGCTGCCGATGCCGTCAACACCGCCCGGCTGCTGCTGCTGTTGCTGCTGGTACTGTCGGTGCTGGTGGGCGCGCAGCTGGCCGCCGCGGCTGTCGGGCCGCAGCGTGGCCTCCGTCATCTGCGCGTCCGACATCTCGTCGCGATAGTCACCGCGTCCACCTCCGCCAGGCATGCCGCCTCGGCCGTTGCCGAGGGCTTCCCGTGGATAGCCGTCGAACTGCATCGACGCGTGACTTCCTGCGTACGTCGACGCCGAGTCCGGGAAGGCCGGGTAGCTCGACACCGTCGACTCCCGGTGCGATTGCCCCGGTCCCGACGCCCAGGGAATGTCGCCGGGCTCCTCCTGCATCGGCGAAGGGTGCGATGCTGAGCCCGAGCCGGATGGCCCCGCCGTTGCGTGCGCGTGCGCCTGCGCTTGCGCCTGATGCTGCTGCTGGGCGTAGAAGGGCACGCGGTGCAGCGGCGCCATTCCGCTCCCGTTGACCTGCGCCTTCTGATCCGTCGCGGCGCCGAAAGGGGGCTTGGTGTGGTGCGGCGAGAGCGGCTCGGAGTGGGAAGGTGGCAACGCCCGCCGCCCCGCGACCTCGGCCAGCCGGTCGTTGATCGGCACGGCTCCGGCCGGAGGTCGGCGGACGGGGGCGGTGGCGCTGACCACCGGCTTGGCCTGCGGAGGCCGCAGCTTGGGCGCGTCCTGCAGCATGTAGGGGTGCCGGAGGCAGTCGGCGGTGGTGAGGCGCAGCTTGGGGTCGTAGCGGAGGAGGTCCTGGATGCAGTCGACCAGGCTCGTGGGCACCCTGCTGTTGAAGAGGCTGTGGAAGTTCCTCGGCTGGACGCGCGGGAACTGGAAGCCCACCGCCTTGGCCATCTTGATGCCCTTTTCCCACTCGCCGCCGCCGCGCACCCGGTTCCGCTCGTCTCGGCCGTAGGCGGGGCTCGGGTCGCCGAGGATGTCGCAGAAGAGCATCACCTGGTCCACCTCGCTCTGTCCGGGAAAGAGCGGGCGCAAATTGACCAGCTCGGCGATGATGGTGCCCAGCGCCCACGTGTCGACGGGCGCGCTGTAGTCGCGCGAGCGCAGCAGCACCTCGGGCGCGCGGTACCAACGCGTCGAGACATACTCGGTGTACGGCGGCTTGCTGTCCGTTTCGCGGGCGAGGCCAAAGTCGGCCAGCTTGACAATCACCAGCACGTCCTTTTCGGGCGGCGAGCCGGGCAGCGCCGTCGGCTGCGACGCCGGGTAGTCGGCAAGGCCCGTCGTGGTGATCAGCAGGTTCTCGGGCTTCATGTCGCGGTGGAAGTAGCCGTGGCTGTGGATGTGGTCGAGCCCGTGCACGATCTGCTCAAAGATCGACGCCACCAGCCCACCCGCCAGCGGCCGCCCCTTGCGCGACTTTGTCAGCTGGTACAGGTTGCCCTCCATGCTCTCAAAGACAAAGTGCAGCTCCTTGGTCGTCGGCATCAGGAAGGCGTCGTAGAGCGGGATGATGTTGGGATGGTGCGGGATCGCCAGCAGGGACTGCGCGGGCGAGGAACGGACGTGGCCAGGGCAAGACAGGCCAGAACAGGTCGCGGTCAGCATGGCGTGCCCTGGGAATGGAGTCCAGCGGCGGCGGGGGTGCGTGCCCGGACAGCGGCGACGGCGATGGCGACGGGCGACGGGGCGAACGCGACTCACCTTGAGCTCCTTCAGCTTCATGCACTCCTGCCAATTGGTGAAGGGCTTCTTCATCCGCTTGATGGCGACGAGCCGCTTGCCGATGTATTCGGGTCGGGTGGTCGGGTGCTGCATGGGCGAGAGCATGGTGCCGCTGGGCAGCGGGCTCTTCCAGTCGGCCAGACAGACGGTGCCAAAGGATCCGTCGCCGAGCTCCTTGACCACGGTAAAGTCTCGCGGCCCTTCGCGCATCAGGTCGGCCGCCGTCGTCGGCATCAGGGATGCCCTGCCGTCTGCCGGGGCCGCGGGTGCTGCGCCTGGCCGACCAACAGGCACAGATCCATTCGAAGAAGACGCGACGGCGGCGCGGGATTGGGCTTCCGGTTGCGCGGCTCGGGCGCCACCGCCAGGTATCGCGGCCCCGGCTCGAGCGCTGGCGCCAGGGGGAGCCCAGCCGTAGGGAGCCTCGCGGGCTACGGCCGAGGGGCCGATTTGCCGATCGGCCCTCGACATGTCGGCGACGGGCATCTGGGATCCTGTCGGCTGCTTGGACGACGAGGCGGCGACGCTGGCCATGTTCACGTCTGGATGCGCGCGATGGCCATATTCCATTATCCGATTAGGGCTGCAATGTGCGTCTGTGGTCTTCGGCCTCGAGGCGTCGATCAGGGCGACTGCCTCGATTGCAGGTCGGTAGGTGCTGGCGCCGGTGGGCAGGGTCGGCGGATCTCGTTATTCAGTGCGAGCGAGAGCACGGCGGCGATGGCGGCGATGGCAGGGCGGAATGGAGCGGGTATCGAGCGCGAGACCCCAACTACGGACAAGGTGACTGGCTGCCTTTGGGCGAGTACGATGGTAGAGGGGAGACCGAGCAGGACGGTCCGGTCCTGTCTGGTATCTGGCAGCGGCGGCTACAGGCTTGTCGGGCAACGTCGGAGGGCGCTTCAAGCAACGCTCGTGTCGGCGGGGCGTTCTGAGCTTCACAGCAGGTAGAAGCCTTGGCGACCAGACCGGCGGTATCGTAGGAGAAGCGATTGAGGAGCCCGAGTGACCGAGGCGAGGCAAGGTAAGACGTGTTGGTCGAGGTTCGAGCGGATCTCTGGAGCAGGCCGCCTGTCGGAGAGCAGCAAGGAAGGTGAGATGAGTCCAGACAAGAAGAGTGCAGAGCGCCGCGGCGACGATGGCGGACGGCGAAAGGGTATCTCGATGCCGACGGCGAGGATATGCAGAGAATGGCGGAAGGCGGCGGATGGAGTGGCGGTGGTGGTGGTGATGGTGATGGTGGCGGTGGCGATGGCGATGGCGATGGGGGAGATGGCAGTGGAGGAAGGTGCGACGATGACGGCGGTGCGGATGACGGGCACGGACAGCGTCGGGTTGGCGGTGCGTCGAGCAGCGGCTTAGCCTCGAGCTGCGAGGCCAGGGGAGCGCGCGCGCGCCAAAGGGGTGCGGCAGCGCTTTGCTCGAAGATCGGCGACGGCGGCAGCGATGTCGGAGCGCGACGGCCGGGACAAGGGGGGAGCGTAAGTGCGGCGCGAGGACGTCGTCCGAGGGCTAGCGGTGAGCTGCCGAAGAGGGTGGGTGCGTACTCTGTGGGTGCGTGCGTGCGCTTCTCGAGTCGCTGCGTAGCTTGCGTGTTGCAAGAGGGCGGCGGCGGCGGCGGCGGCGGCGGCGACGGGTCGAGGAGCAGACGAAGAGAGGCGTCGAGGGATCAAAGGGGAGCGAGGGTCAAAGGGGATGGATGAGAAGCAGGCAAGGCAAGGCAAGATGGCGAGAAGCAAGACAGAGGAGGCGCAGGCAGCCAGGCCGGAGGGCAGCCAAGGCGGCCAACGGGCGACAAAGAGGGCGTGTGCGCGGGCGACCCAGCCGCGGTACGACGGGCAGGCCAGAGAAAAGCAAGCAAGCAGGCAAAAGGCAGGCAGGCAGGCGGCAACAAGGCGAGGCGAGCGAGCGAGCGAGGGGGGATGCTCGCTGTATGTGGCATGGGGCGTGTGCGTGTCTGGGGTCTCTCCCTCTCTAGCTGTGCGTCGCTCTCTCCCTCCTAGCTTCTACCTGGTCACCCTCTCTTGACACACCTTCACGTTGCGTTGAGAGGCAGGCCAGGCCAGGAGCAGCAGCAGCAGCAGCAGCAGCAGCAGCAGCGCAGCCTCGCTCTCCAAGCCACCCGCTGGCGCTTGACCCGTCCACACGCTCCGTGACCGCCAGCCAGCCAGCCAGCCTGCGCTTGCCTGTCTGCCTTGCCCCTCCTGCCCTCCTCGCGCCTGTCTGCAAGGGCGTCCGGCAGCATTTGGATTTTTGCTCAAAGGCCGCGTCGAGTCGCTGGCCTGGCCTGCCTGGCCACAGGCATGCCTGCCTGCCGTGTGTCTGCGCGCGCGCACCTCGACTCGCCTGGCAGGCCGCACTTTGACCGGGTCGACATCGCAAGCAAGGTCGGGGGTAAGCGACCACGAGCGGGCGGCAGCATCGACAAGAGTGGCGAGGACGAGACATGTCCCAAGCAGCGCCGTCCGACAAGCCGCCGCCCCCGACGACGACGACATCATGGACGTGACGCCGCGCTGACGGTGCGTGCGTGCGTGCGTGCGTGCGTGCGGCGGCCTCGACCGCGCCAACAGAGCACCCTCCGCTGCTGTCGCTCCGCCACGGCGACGACGACGGCGACGACCAACGATCGCTCGTCTAGGACTCCCGCATTGAGGCAAAGGTGCGTGCTTGCTTACCTACAGACAGGGTCAGCGACGACACTTCGGCCTTTCGAGCTTGGACCCCGTCGTCTTTCGTCGAAGATTGCCCGGTGCAGGCGGGCGCGGTACGATGCTAGACCAGGCCTGCGGGTGCTCTGGCCTCTCCCGACGATGGGATGCGTCGCCGCTGGGTGGGCCGACGGGCCGGGTCGAGATGATGAACGCGCTGGCAGCAGCAGCAGGTCAGATCCTTCTTGCCATGCATGCGATCCACAGAGAGAGAGGTGCGATCCGCTCGGTCCGTCCCAGCCACCGTGACGGGCTGCGCCAGAGTTGCTCGACCGATGGACACCGGCTGACCCATCGGGCTTTGCCCAGCAGCCCACAGGACGGGCCGAGATGACATGCGCGAAGGCTCTTCCTGCCACTACGGCACTGCTCTGTGATCGTCGAGAGGCTGGCTGGCGAGCCGTTCGTGCGCCCTACCGACGGACCGGACCGATCGGCGAGGCAGGTGTTGGTCTCGTATCCCATCGCCTCGCTCGTCGCGCCAGCGAGGGGTGAGCCCTCTCTGCTGGTGGACTGGGCTTCCCGTTCCGAGGAAGGATGAGGGTCCAGCGGCACATCAAAGTACAGTCGCCAGACCGCCAAGAAAAGCTGGGACGTTGCAGGCTGCGGCCACGAGGTCGGCATCGTCGCACAAGGGTGGAACGTCGCGCCAGGATGGGCCGTCGCGAGCTCGTACGATGTTGCTCGTCGGCCCCGTCCACATGTACCCGCGTGGAGCACGTCCAGCTGGCCTGGGCAAGCTAAGAGGCGTCGAGGGGGGCCGGCCGCATTCAGCGCCAGGAGCTCCGTACGTAGGTGGCGGTCGGGCGGCAGGGAGGATCGTTGGTGCCTGACGACCCGGCCGGTGCCGTGCGTAAGGTACCACGCGCTCGCTGCGGACGACCATGCCTGCCAGCTGAGGAGGAGCGAGGGACCGGCGGCGACGGCGGCGACGGCGGCGACAGGCGGCATCGAGAGGAGCAAGCAACCAGCAGCAGCAACTCCGGTCGAGGCAGGCCACCCCGTAGGCAAAGTCGCCAGGCAAATCGCCGTGGCGCCCGCCAAGACTTCGCTCGTGGCTGCTGTGCTGCCTTGCTTGCTGGCTGGCTGGCGGGCTTGCTTCCCGGGCCAAGGCCGCGCCAATTGCAATTTCGCCGCGTCGTGCGGTCGGGGTGGCCGGCACGACCGAGGGAGGCCTGGCAGGCGGCGAGACTGACCCGGCAGGCCTCGGGCGTGTCGCGACAGGCAGGAACCCGAACGGCGGGCCGAGCTGGCCTCGAGATGCCGCCAAGCCATCTGCTTGCTTCCGGTTCCTGGCCACGGAGGGCATGTACGGTACGGTACCAGTCGTCGTGTGGGTGTGCGTGTGCGTGCGAGCGTAGTGTAGTATGGTGGTACGTGTAGGCCCGGGGCTGCCGCTGCCTCGACGCTGGAATGCAGCTTCGGGATCGGGTCGACCCGCGCGTTGCGGGCTAGCTTGCCCGACTGCCTGCTCTCCCAGCGATGTGGCTGCCCTCTGGGCTTGGTACGGTGATTGCGCGAAAGCCGCTATGACGGAAGCGTGTGAAGAAAGTGCCCGTAAGTGGACGCCGCAAAGGCCAGGCATGCCGAGCACGCGCTTGACCTCGGTGCTGCCATCGGCTGGCTGCCTCTGCCACCGCTCGAGGGCAGCTCCTGGGGCCCTCGCTCGTGGGCTGTCTCCGATACAGGCACCCTCCGAGTGCGCGGGCGTCGGATGGGACGACAGAGACATGCAGTGCGCAGCGGTGGGTGATCTATCATCGATCCCCTGCCACCCTCTCGAGGCCGAGGGTGAGGAGCGGAGAGAAGGCGCGGGCACAAGGCAGGCATGACCTGGCCTGTTGCGCGGTGGACTGGAGACGCGGCCAGGGGGGCGTCGTGAATGACGGAGCGCACATTCGCATTTATATATGCTTATTTTTTGCCCTTGAACATCCCCTCCGAATTAGTTTAGTGGCCATGACGGCACCTTGTCATTACAGCGCCCTCTTCGCCGAGGGAGTGACCGGTGCAGACCCGGGTTCGATTCCCGGATTTGGAGCTTCTCTTTTTTCCTTCTCTTTCTCAACCCGGTTCAGGCCTCTGCCGCGGTCGGGTCAAGGGTCTTTTTCCGCGTGTCTTTTTTCGCGCAATTCCGTCAGGCGGTGGCCTGGCCAGGCGGAGGCCGGCCTACCTCGTCGTGTCGGCGGCGAACCACACGAAGCGCAGAGGGCAGCCAAGCTGACGTGCAGGACGCCGTGGACTGAGCTTGCTCATCCTTGCATCGACCAGCCGCGCCGTTCAGCCGGGTCGCAGAGTGGCAGCACCGAGATGCGTAGGCCACGACGGCAGCGTGGTCATCTCGACAGAGCGACGTCCGGCCACTTGCCCCGGGGGTAGCCCGAGGAAGGCGGGCAAGAGCAGGCTGTACCTCCGACTCGGGGGTTGCTGGAGCATGGTCGCTGCGACATGGCCGCTGGAGCATGGCCCACCATGTGCGGGAGCATATCAGCCCAAAGCGGCGGCAGGATCACCAGGGCCGATGCGGCGAGCGAGCGAGCAGGTGGTGGTGAGGAGGAAGGGCACCCGCCACGGTGGGCGAGGAAGCAATGGCCATGACCTGATCTGCTGTTTGAGGGGTAGTGTGAGCTATAATATATGCAACCTGGATGCCCTCTGACATCGAGCGGCTCTTAAAGAGTTGTATTTCATGCATATCTATCACAAGTTACATAGGGTCGCCGGTCCTGGAGCGCACGCTGGTGCAGCTGTGGGCGTCCATTTCTCGGACGTGTCTCGTCGGGCTCACGCCCCCTGTAGGTCTGGAAGATCCAGACCCCAGCCATTCTTGAGTCTTGTGCCGGCAAACAGAGTGCTTTGCTGTACGTCTAGACGGGTAAGGTGCGAGTGGAGCACCGCGGCTGCAGAGATGGGTCGGAAGGTGTCTTGTTGGTGGTTGTCTCTTTCTGCCGTCGCTTTCTTCCTCGCGGTGTCCAGCGAGAGAACCGCGACCGTGTGGATGCAGGTTAGTCTGGCTTTGTCTTCTTTGGTCATCCGTTCGTAGAGGTCGTGCCATCCAAAGAAGAAGTCCTGTGCTGTGCTCGGCATCACGACCGGTACGTCCGTCACCGCCCTCTTGACGATCCCCCACACGTGGGTCCAGTATTGCCGGATCATCGGGCATGTCGCAAACCCGTGCCGGGGCGAGTCTCGTTCTCCGCACGCGCACCGCCATACGTGGAATTCAGTGTCGCGGAAGCGGAGAGTCTTCTCGTGCAAGAGCGTGATCCAGATTGTCTGTGCCTCCGGGATCTTGACTGAGTGCAGGCGAGCCCATATTCTTGCCCAGAAGGTCTCCGCTGGTAGGCGCGTCGGGAGGCGGTCCCAGGCCGGCATGGGCTGGCGTTTGGCGTGTTTGCTCTCCCAGTAGTGGACTGCCGTCTTTGGTGAGATGTGGTGCAGCGGATCGTTTCCTAGTACCATCACCTCCCACGGGGGCACGGCGTCGCCGGGGTTCGGGATGAGTCGGCTTCTCAGTGCACCACGGCGTGGCACGGAGGGCACGATGCTCGTGAGGCAGTCGCGTAGGCCTCGCCGGAGCGACTCCCAGTATCGGTCCCATCGAGATGCAAGCCAGTATAAGGTTGTATGGGTTGTGGTCGGTGCGTGTGCATTTGCGACGTTGCGTGCTGCCGTCTCCGAGAACCTTGGACAGTGGTGGCGCGGTCGGTCATCTTCGATCGAGATCTCTGCCATCGACGGTATACCCAGCTTGCTAGAGCTATGATCAACCCATAGGACGTCCGCAAAGGTTACAAAGCCTTGAAGACGTATCGCAGCGATGTGGTGCATGTATCGGGCGCCTCCGATGCCGGCCATGTTCTCGATCTGGTACTCGGGGAGGTACCATGGTAGCGCTGCTGCCTCTCGCGGGTCGATTGCCTCCCAGTTCACGGTCGAGGCTAGGCGCAGGTCAAAGGTTTCTGCCGTCTGAAGGACGGAGGCAACGAAGGCGTGGTCGTGGTCGAGGCGGGCGTTTGTCCACTTTGTCGACCGTCTCGTGAGCAGAACTCCAAGGGGGCCGTCGCATCGATCCAGGAGATGTGACTTGATCAGATGGACAAACGAGGACATTGGACTGCTCTCGTCTTTGGATGCAAGAAGCGCCTTTGCTAGCCAGGCCGCTTGAATGCTGGATGATCGCGATTCCGGATCGTGCAGGCCGAGGCCTCCCTGTTGTCTTGGGGCCGTGCATGTTTCCCACGGAATCCAGCCACGAGTCTGCCCGGAAAAGAGCCATGGCGTCACCATGGCACGTATACGTTGGTGCAGCGTGGCAGGGTTGAAGCCGACTCCCATGGAGTGCCACAGGATGGAGAGCACCTGGCTGTTCAGCGTGTCTACGCGTGTGAGAAGGTCTTGTCGCTTGTGCGCCGTCGCCGCTAGTCGCTGCTGCAGGCGTAGCACCAATCTTTCCCTCGATAGCGTGCAGATCTTGTCCTCAGCGTGAAAGTGGAAGCCGAGGTATTCCCATTCTGTCGAAGGGTCGATCTTGCTCTCCGCGATGCGGCCTCTGGGCCATTGCTCCTCCGGGTGTGTTCTGAGGTCTGGGGCCGCTAGTATTCGGTACTTCGTGGAGGGATTGAGCGACGCGCCTGTCGCCGTGTCATACTGCGCCCGTCTGTGGTTGTAAAGGTCGAGTTGAGACGGGTCCCCTAAGAAGATGTTGCTGTTGTCGGCGTATGAGATTGAGGTGAGAGGCGGTGTATTTTCGTCGCCGACTCGGACGCCGATCCCGTCATGCATCAGCGCGTCGAGGAATGGTTGGTATACCAGCACGTAGATTAGTGACGAGGTGGGCATGCCCTGTAGTACCCCACGTTCTAGCGGAATGGGGGCACAGACGGTGTGTCCGAGGTCATATTCGACGTGCGGGTGGTGGTAGAATGTGCGTAGCGTCCTAATGAACGAAGCCGGGAAGTTGCGATGCTTCATTACTTGCCATATCCACGAGCGTGCCATCTGGTCGAACGCTTTTTGCTGATCCTGGTCGACAATGATCGCGCACGACGAGTCCGCTGTTCCAGTCTGGATGGACGATATCACAGTGTGTAGCACCACCGCTGCCTCCGTGCTCGTTCTGCCTGCTATGAAGCCACATTGCGTCTTGGGCGTGACTTCGCTGACCGCGGACTGTAGGCGCGCGAGCATGACGCTGTCCATGATGCGTAGGTCGGAATCAATGATGGACAGAGGGCGGTAATTGGCTGGGTTCCCTGCGTCTCCTCTCTTGTATAGCAGAATGCCTCGTGCCAGTGGATGTACAGTGGGCAGGGAGCGACCGGACCGTAGCGTATTCAGGAGGCGGGTTAGCATCGTCGCCACTGCGTCGTCATTGCTTCTCCAAAACGAGTGCGGAAGGCCGTTCTTGCCCGGCGCAGAGTGGTTGGGCTTCGACGCAGATATGGCAGCCGATACCGAGTCCACAGAGAAGATTGTGTCTAGTTTTCCGCGCGTGTCCTCCCTTAGTGTCTGCGGAGACGTCATAAGAAGCATGGATCTCGCCCTTTCCACGACGGGAGGCTCCGGCCGGGCGCCAAACATGTCCGTGTAGAACCGCACGACCGAGTCGGTCGGAAGACTGGCGGCTGAGGCCGGAGACTTTGCCATCTTTGGCCGGCCTTGAGACCTGTTTGTTTGGAGCGCTAGGTGGTCTCGCAGCTCCTCAAGCTTGTGTTGGTAGGCTGTTTTCGTGTGGTCAAAGTTGTCTAGCGGCCATTCCGCGATCTCAATGCGAAGGGCTCTGATCTTTTCCGCCGTCTGTCTGGCGTGGTTGCTGAGCTCGTACGACTTCCTTTTGGCGAATGCCCGGCATCGTTCCACCATATGCATGTACTCTTGTCCCACACTGGTGCCTCTTGGGGGGTCGATCGTATCGTGTGTTACATCTGCCAGGAACGTGCTCGTTGCGGTCTTAAAGGGTGAAAACGTTGCTATGCGCTGAGGGAGGGTCCATCGTGTCGCATTTCTCGGCTCCGCGCCTATAGCGCCGTCAGAGTCGTCGACTCGAAGTAGGATAGCTGAGTGGTCTGAGGCTAGGGTTTGGAGAACGTCAACGGACTGGCAGGCAGCGAGCAGGTCTTGATGGACTAGGAATAAGTCGATCCGGCTCGCGGTAGTTCGGGCGGGGGTGTGCATGACCCTGGTGAAGCCGTGCTTTTCCGGGTGCAGCAGCGCGAAGACATCGTGAAGTTTGGCCATCATCGCCTTGGGTTCAATACACGGCCAGTGGTGGTTCCTAACCTGTCGTGCGTGGAGGAAGTCGAGTTGCGCCGAGGGTGCGTCGTTCCAGTCGCCGCCGTAGATCGGAATGGGCCCATCTCTGGATCTCGCGAACGTGAGCGACTCGAAGAATGATTTTCTCTGTACTGCTTCCGCTGGCGCGTAGACCGAGGTCAGCTCAAGCTCTGTGCCGCCCGCCGTCACCGTGACCGAGACGAGCCTGCCTTCTCCCCGGAGGCGATGCGAGGATACCACGAGGTCGCTTTTGAGAATGATCACTGCTGCGAATGCGCTGATATACGCGCGGTGGAGCTGCGGTTGTATCGAGCTGTGTGCCACGTTCTCCCATTTCGGGATCAGGGCAGGGTCCCGTTCGTAGATGTGGCGTATGGACGGGGCGAATGGTTCCTGTAGAAGGACGACATCGGCGTCGGCGGTGATGGATAGCCAGTCTCTGGCGGTTGTGAGTGCTCTCCCGCTCATTGCGTTACAGTTCCAGCTGAGCACTCTGAGGTTCGGCATTGCTATCGTGTGGGCTCGACGTTGGGGGTGGTGGTCGTTACAGCTTTGGGGGAAGGTGGGCAGGCGGTACCTGCTACGCTGTCATCGATCGCCCGGCGCGGTGTGGGAGCAATTCGGTCTCTTATGCACGTTGGAGGTCAAAGCGTGGTTCGTCATTGTCTATTACGGTCAGGGGCGAACAAGTGTTTCTGGGGACGGGGCGACAGCCCCTGGAGGATGGGGTGCCGGAGGGCGTTGGGTGGAAGGGGGAGGGGGGGGGGGGGGGGGGTGTTTGCGGCGGGATCGATGTTCAGTTAGTC